GACGATTTTTTCAAAGAAAGCATTCATGATATAATAAGATTACTTGTTGAATATACTGATATTGATAGATTAAAAACTTTTTATGATATGTGTATATTATCTATTAAAGAAAGTTCAAATATTAAGGAACAAAAAAAAGCATATAGGTAGTCTTTTTTTAAATATCTATAATTAAATATTTTACGTAATATTTTCACAAAAAAAAATTTTACGATTTTGTTATTCTTATTTTTAGATTTTTGGAAGAAATATGTGGCAGTGAAAAAGAAACGTGCAAAGAGTTTGTAAATCAATATAGACGTGAAATACAAAAATTATTAATATCCTCAGCCACTGAAGTTGCAAAACCAAGCAGAGGAGTAAATATTGATTTTTTAAAAATTTTATTAATATATAAATTTTATATTATAAATGTTATTAATTTTAAAAAATTAATATGATAAAACAAAATTTATTTTTTAATCAGGCTCGAATAAGATGTTTAACTCATCTTATCAAAATTCATCCACAATTAGAAAAAACTAAATTCTTAGAAGCCATTGTTCCTGAAACAGTAGTATATTTAAAGGATATAAATTTAAAATGTCGAACGTCTGCGTACCAACTATTAAACACTATTGCCGAGAAATTTTTAGAAAATCCTACACATCTTAAAGATTATATTAATATGCTAATAGTTGGTTTAGGTGGTGTACAAAAGTATTGTGCTGCATCTATACTAGCACTTGCCTCTATTACTTATCATTATAATGGTATAATTTATTTGAAATTAATATTTAATATTTTAAATTAATATTTGAAATTATAATTTATTGAAATAAATATTTTGAATAAAATAAATAATATTCATAAATAATATTATAATATCATAACAGGATCTTTAGGTGTAGATACAATTAGAGAAATTTTAGAACATACATGCAAACTTGTTACATGTCCTACAAGAGAAATTGTAGAAGCTGCATTATCATACATTAAAGTTTATATTACTGTGATGCCATCTCCTATTGTTGCTTCGACTTTAACTAAATTGGTGAGTAGAAATATAAATAAATAACTTGAAAACTTAATTAATATAATTAAAGAATTGATTTAATTATAGATGGATGCTATATGTGGGATGACTGATGATTGTCATAGACATTTTCGACAGAAAGTACGCGATATTTTAGTAAAATTATTGAGAAAATATGGAATGGATACAATTTCTGTCATGATTCCAGTCTCGAACACGATATTGCATAAAAGATTGAAAAATATGAATAGAATTGAAGAAGCAAAGAAAAAAAAGAAAGAGATGAAAAAATCAAACCAACAAGAAATCAATGAAGATAATGAATTTAATGCAAAAAGAAGACCAAAAAGGTAACTTTAAATTTTTTTATTGAAAATTATATTTTTCTTGATTCAAATTATTATAATCTTTAATCTTTAATCTTTAAAATATAGTATAGAGGATATATTGGCAGATAGTGAAGATGAATTCGAAGAAATGGAAAATAAAGAACCGAAGAAAAAAAATAGAACATCAAGAAAGGACGTTTGGATTCAAGAAAATGAAGAAATTGTTGATCTCGTAGATCCTGCGGCTGCTCGAAATATATCAAGTTAGTGTATTTTTAAAATTTAGTTAATTAAAATTGCTATATATTAATATATAATATTAATAATTATAATTAACTACATAAAATAATGTTTTCAGCTACACAACCTAGAGCCTTAAATTCCAAAACAGTTGCAAAGCCAAAAGATCGTGGGTTCAAAACTGCATCAGATGGACGTCTTATTATCACATTAGATAATGAAAAAGCTGATGAAACCGAAATTAAGAAAATTAAGAAAAAAAAATCTCCATTATTATTGCACAGTGATTCAGAAAATGATTATGGTAAAAAAATATAATTAAATAAGAACATAAAATAAACCAAAATTAAATGAACAAAATTGATTTATGTTTTCAGAAGAAAGCAATGATGATGCTGAATCAGTAATTACATTACAAACAATGAATAGAAAACGTAAATTTAGTGAAAATAATGATAACATTAGTGTAAGAACTGGATCCACAAAATATCAAGGTAATACAATTATAATCTAAGACATTTTTTAATTTTGATCTATAACTTATAATAATTAAAAATTTATCATTTATAGCGGGAGGATCTGGAATACATCGACAGTTGAAAAAAGCAAAAATGGAACATTGTATTCCAGGAGCAGAATACAAAGCACCAAAAGCTGGAGGTGATATTAAAAAGAAGGGCAAACCAGATCCATATGCTTATGTACCTCTATCAAGAGCAGCATTAAATAGAAGGTAAATAAAAATATTTAAAATCTCTATTCAAAACTTATCATTAGAATAATTTATATTTTTCATTTTCAGAAAAAAGAAAAAAAATATAACTAAATTTCAGAATATTATTAAAGGAGCAAAAAAAGGTGCAAAAACTGGAGTGAAAAATAGAAAAAATTAGAATTTACTTGTGAATATATGTTGCTATAATATAATAAATACTTATAATTCATAATTATAATGTTTTCATTAAATAATAATAAAATATATATATATATATATATATAAAACTGTATTACATGATAAAATTTTAATTAAGATCGAATTAAAATCTTTGATAATTTATTATATATTAATATTATCAACTTATATATACTTAAATAATTAAAATATTTTCAACATCAAAATAAATTTATAACAAAGTTAGAAAATTTTTATAATATTATTTATATAATCTATTTATTAATAATTAGGTTTACAAAGAAATTTTTGTATAAAGATTATTTAATTATTTAATTTAATTTATATATTTCAATAGAGCAAATATTGAAATCTTTACAACTGATAGAAAATAATTTAAAAATAATTATATTAAAATAATGACTGGTTTTGTTTTCTGAAAGAAAATAATTAATATATAATTTATAAAATTAAAAATGCTACAATTAAACATTTTCATTCATTCTAAAAGTATTTATATATTTTTATCAATAAAAACTCACATTTTCTTTAACTTTTATTAACTCTTCTTAGGCAACATATTTTCTAGCTCTCCAGATTCACTCATTTCCTTTATAATATCCAATCCTCCAATAAGTTCTCCATTTATATACAACTGAGGATATGTAGGCCAATCACTAAATTTTTTAAGTCCTTCTCTAACATCATTATCTTGTAAAATATCAAATGATTGATAGTCTGCTTTATAAGAATCTAGAATAGAAACTATTGTTCGAGAAAATCCACAACGTGGATTTATTGGAGATCCTTTCATGAATAGCATACAAGGTGCTTGATTTATTAACTTTTTTAATCTTTCTTCAAGATTTTCTTTTGGTTTATATGTTTCAATTGAAATGGAATCTTTTTTGGACAACTGATGTTTGATTTTGTCTGCTATAGCAGAAGGGTTGGCTCCATCGACTCTATCGAGTATAGTATCGTTTCTTGTGAAAATAATTGTTGGTACTGCACTGATACCGGCTTTTAAAGATACATCAGGAATTTTTTCAGCTTCGATTTTAGCAAATTTAACTTCTTTATACTCGGTTAGTTTGCTCATTTCTTCGATCACATCATTTATCTGCGAACATTGATCAGCCCATGGCGCGTAGAAATGAATGACAGAAAGATCTTGTGACCTGACATAATAAACAAACATGAACTTGAAAGTAACACATATCTTAAGTAATAAACATGTTTATAAACAATATATATATAATTTTGCTATTTTATCATGAAACTATATCGAAAAAAATTCATGACTTCTGAACCTTTTATATCGAATGAAAAGAATATTAAACATTTATATTTTTATTATATCAATCTATTGCATCATCTAAAAACAAAAGATGAATATTTTTTTTGATTATGAAACAGTAACTTTAAAATATAAATTTTGATTTTTTCACAACAATATTAAAGAAGAAAAATAAAATAGGTTATGTTATTTCTAAAATTGTATAAACTTATATTTACTCACTTAACATAATTTTCATATTCTTGCTGAGAATTAAGATTAGTGACAGACATTCTGTCACGTTCTTTCTATTTTTGATAAATACGCAAGAATATTAAAAATAAATATCTTACAAATACATCCACTCACCACGACAGCGTCTACGCGACTTTCAATATTGTTCTCATGGAGGTTTTATATTCACAAATGCAAAACTTCTGCTTCTGCGCAGAAGTTTGCCAATCCACTATGTGCTGCAATAAAATAATTTGATTTTAATAAAGTGTTTTTATAATATAAAAATAATATTAATGTATCACTTATTATTTAGTTACTGTTCTTTGTTACACAATAAACTAAAAATGAAAATAAATTTTATTTTAACTAATTTGATACGTTTATTAAGTAAATTATATATACAATTTTTATTCAAATCTTTTAACAAAAAAGTACTCGTTATTTATAAAGCTAAATAAAAAATCTGACTGAAAACAAAAAGCTATAATTTAAATAAAAATGGCGTGAAATAAGAAATTTATCACACAATGTAAATTTGACTTTAGATTTATGGTTCTCAATTATGATCTTAAAATATTTTAAAAGATTTTAAATTTTCTAAATTATTAAAATTCTAAAATATGTTTTTAAACAATTGTTTTTAAATAAATAGAAAATGTTTAATATATACAAATATTTTTCTTTTATTTTTTTTCTAATTATAATTATCTTTTAAAAAAAGCTTTAAAACAATATTATAATGAATTTAAAATGTTATTTTAAATTTTAATAAAGTTAAATCTTTATAATTTTACAATCATTCATTAAGTACTGAAATGTCAAAAAAAAACTTATATAAATTGAGAATCACTGGTACTAGATTGTGTCAGATAAAACAGGTGCACTAAAAGAAAGTGGCCAATCGGAGTGTCGATGGGTAGTTCGTCATACAAAGCGTATAAGACAGTCGTCATTGAACGTTATGAACGGAAGGGAGGGGGGTAAGGGAAGAAAATACGAAGCAGTAAGGACTGTCAAGATACCTCGCCCACAAAAAGTAGATGCAGATGCGACCGGACGGTGAACACGTGCGACGCTTTTTTGTGACGGACGCATGAACACGCGGTGCAATGTTCAAAAAGTTGTCGCGAAGCGACGCCCTTGAGAATATATCCAATTGGAGCACCAATGATGTGTTGTGCCTACTTCGAAAGGTGAGTAAACTCTGATTCAAAGTGATCTTTGGCATTGTCAGCAACAAATTTCTAAAGTGAACGAATCAAAATCTCAAATGATTTCATAAATCATATGAAAACACTGAAAATTTTCTTCTTCGAGTTTTTTATTTATCTTAACAATCGAATATTTAGGATGTGTATATTAAATTCTATTATTTATAAATTCATTGAAATAAATTCATTTCATAATAAATAGTAAAAGAAAAATGTAAATAAATTATTTATATAAATATACTATAGATAAAAAGTCAATAAATATAAGTTATTCTTTTTTATTCGTGACACCTCGGAATGGTTTAGTACTTTGCAAACTGTCAAATTGCATGACAGAATATTGAAAATGAGATAGAAATAATGTTTCATATGTATATATTTTTAATTAGTACAAAATGAATAGGTTCATGTATCACATTGTATTTTTTTTTCATATTTTAAAATCGTGGGACTAGAATATTAAAACCATTGAAATGTGTGAACAAGATTAAACCGATGAATGTATACCGACTGAGTATACCAAGTATATTGAAAGCATTTAAATTCTAATTCAAAATTATACTAACGAAATAAAATATCAAATAGAATAATATAATTATAAAATAAAATGCAATAACGCAATTTTTAAAAGCAAGAATCATTTAAGTAATCTTAAAATCACAGTACATCTGCTATTTATCATTCAATTTTATATAATAGATCTTCAAATGATAAAACTCCAACGCATTTTTATTTTACACTATAAAATTAACATAATTCAAAAAATTTGTCATCAAATATAAATTTAATTTTTGCAAAATATTTAGAAATATCAATATTAATCAATTTAATATATAATTAATTACTCAATTTAAATTGATATAACAAAATACAAAGGAAAAGAAACTTGTATCTATTCATTCTGCACTTTGTTGTCCTAATAACGTAAATATTTGTACAAGATATAGTATATATGCATGTTATCAGTAGTGTACATCCTGTTTGATCGAAGAGTTTTTTCTTTTACAGAACGGTCTGGATGAATGTTGTAAAGCCATTGCAAAACGACAGATCGATGGTGACGAATTATTGGTGAGTAAATCCGTCTGTTAGATCTGATATCAGTCATCATCATGACTTCTTTCCCTGTTTTGTTCACGTTTCGCTAATGTCTATGTCATCTATGAATATATATAATAATATTTAATAATACATTGATAATTATAATATATTATATGGATTGGTAATAAAACGTTTATGAAGATGACTCCATTTGTTATAAACTAAATTCTAAAAAGATAATTATTAGCCTATTTCCCATTATTTTTAAAGAAAAAGCATTGTAAAAACTTTTATTGAAATATCTATAATAACCTTATCTGAAATGACCATAAATTCTAAAAAATAATTATTAATTCAAATTTTCTTATACTTCGTAAAAATGCAAATAAAAAGAAATTAAGAAAAGAAATTATTAGAAATTTTTTTGTTAAGATTAAAAAAAAATCTTTGATATTAAAAAGAATAATCAAAGACTTGTCACTTTCACTAATTAATTGAATAAAAGTAAAGTTTGAATTAGACATTATTCGCATACTGCCAAGCCACACAATGCAAAGAGAAACAAATTTCTAATCGGTTGAAATAAATAGAAAACGTGGGGATAATGCAATGAGCAAGTTTCATTCATAATTCGTGTCGTTACATATTTCGTTTCCAACTGGCGTGTGCTTCTTATGTTCTTCTTAATTAATTGTAATTATTCCAGCACTTGACGGAAGGGAAACTGGCGCTGTGGAAGAGTGACCTCACGCGTCCACTGATATGGTAAGAGAACGAAATATCAGACATGTCTCGTTTCTCCGTAAAATGTGGTGGAACAAAGTGGACCCGTTCTTGTGACCAAATAGAATGTTGATGTTCGTTTCACAGTCTAACGGTTCTTCTTCACATCTCCCTGAGACATTCTTTCGAATCGTGATCGCTGAATAATTATCCATACACACTTAAGCGTGTTCCATAATTTTCGAAAGTATACTGTTCAGAATAATTAGAAGATTATCCGACTGAATGAATTTATTACCCAATTAGATCTTAAATATAGCATATATCTTCAGCATTGTATGCTATACCTTAAAATCGATGATTGGAAATCAAGAAATGATCTTATATCTTACACTTTTTAATACTTAGAAAGTATTATTTTGAAGTAACTGGAAATGGAAAAAAGAACTCACATGTTTTACATTCTTTAATTATTTACAAAATAAAATAATAATTAATTAAAAAATAATAAAATTAATAATTTATCTATTTATTTAATTTTAAATACATAGGCCAAGTTTTTGTTATAAAAAGTATAAATAAAAAGATGAAATATGATATAATATGAAACTGGAAATAGAAAAATGATTTCATATTTTTTTAGATCTTCTAGTTACTTATATAGCAATAATATGTCTTTTGTAATATAAATTTTTGAAAAGTGTTTATTACAAAAGATATATAGATAGAAAAATAAACTAATAAAATAAAAATAAGATAATATTTTTACCTAAAAATTATATTATTACATCTCTTTATTATTTCTTCATAGATATTATTTTTAGAATTTCTTATTTGATAATTCTTGGAAGTTTTATTTTCAAAAGAATCACATCATTCTATTAATAAATACCACGTTTTAAAATTCCAAAAGAAAATATACTTTTCAATGAAAATATAAATTTGAACAATATTCAGGTGCCATAGCATATGTTCTACTTCTATTCTATTGTTGAACTTCATAGAGAAATTGTATCGACATTAGAGACTGTACATATATAGAGAAGACGAATTGTTTGCATTCTATTGATATTACAACAGCTATTCCATCCTATCATTCTAAACGTCGCGGTGGCTTAAACCGGTGAAAAATTTGGCGAGCGATGATGCTATAGAAAGCGTCGCCGGACGCAGTATGCATACCAAGAGGAAGGTTCAATGGCTTGAGTGGTGAAATCAAAATATGCTGTGGTTAGTATTTCCGAAGGCCACGCTAAGACCGAGTGGCCCCCGGTTATACAAACCGGTGCAATAAGTGCGTAATTCTATCGTGTGGGATGTCCTCACGATCATTCAATATCGCTACTGACGCCACGAAATTTATCGTCTTCTTTTATTAAGGAAATTCCACTTGACAACAACGCGACTGTTAATGCGACGACATTAGTATGCTATTTGTAATTAGATGATAATGTTTCTAAAGAATTCGAAAGTTAAATAATAAAAATGAACGAAATTTTTTACTTAATTATGTACATACGATAATTAAACTGATAAATACAGATAATATTTGTGAAAAATTTAAATATATAAAAATTTATAGAATGCACATGATGTATAACATAAGATATAAAAATATCCAAAATAATATTATGCTATATGGAATATAAAATAAATAAATTCTTCACTTTCTTTTCTATACTTGTGTTTATAAAAATTTATATAAATATTCATAATCTAATGATATTAGAGATGAAAAATCTAATTTGTATCTAATTTTAAATATTTTTTAAATAGACTAATTTATTGATCATTTTTTATTATAATTAATTTTTTTCTAATTAATTAATATTAATTAGAATAATAGTTATCTAGAATAGATAACTATTCTAGATAATAGAATTCTAATTAATAGAACTATTAATAGAATAATAATTATCTAATTAATTAATTTTTTTATAATTAATTAATAGAGTATCAACTAGAAATTTTTAAAATATTCATTTTTTTAGGAATCTTTGGACATTCGTAGAGGAAATAAGAAAAACACCAGAAAAATTTGTAGAAGAAAAGATTCTTGAATCTCAATCAAACGAAGATCATTTAAGTGATACCGGCTCCTGGGGGACTGATTTCGAGGATGAAACAAACGAAGAGAATACTTTATCAGAAACTCAGAAAATTTCCGGATCAAATTATGAATCTAAAAACAATCAGAAAGTTTTAGAGAACAATGCAGATCTTAAACAAAAAGATATACAAACAGAGAAAGTATCGAAGCAAGAGGAAGAAGAAACTTATGTGAATTGTGGTCTTACAATTGACGAGAACACATATGCGAATTGTCAGGAAACTGTGCCATTGAAGAATGCGTCCAGATTGCATAATCAAGGAGAAAAATCGTTAGCTGAACAACTTAAGGAACAATTGCAATTTATAAATACCAAAAAGCCAATAATGGGACCAAAACCTGAATTATTGCAAACAAAAAATGTAGAGGTGTCAGTTTTAAATCGAACTCAACCTCGGAAATCGTTTCTTCATAATACAAAGGCCAAATCGAATAATCTTACTCAAACGCAAAGTTAGTAAATTAGAAACAATAAAAAGATTATATTTATTCATATATTCTGTAAAAATATTTTATTTTTTAAATATTTTTTTTTCTTTTAATATAATAGAGAATAATTTAATAAATAATATTTAATATTTCAATTGATAATTTCAGAAAGAATGACAGTACCTCCTCCACCACAGCCAATAAAAAATAAAGATCAAATGGTGATTATCGAGAAATCGAACAAAGATCAAGCAAAACCTCCTGCAACGCTCAGAAATCTTGATCTGGTTGCCAATTTACCCACAAAGACAGAAGAAAGTGAAGATGAATACGAGTCATTCGATGAACAAATAATTGAACAAAATCAAAAAAAAAATATGTTGAGAGTGGACAGTAAGCAATCATTGACTAGTCATCAAAGTTCTGTGGAAAGTGTTTACCAACCACCAAGTATTACAAGTTATGAAGAAGAAGAAGAACATTATGATATTTATGAATCAATCACGGAAACAGTAAGTTTTAAAATACATTTTTAATTTTATAGTAATAATATTTAATGAAAAATTGAATTAATAAGAATTATTTTTACAGCCAGACGATAATGGATACTATTTAAATCCTATTCAGAGGACGGCTAATGTGAAAACACCCCCACCATTGCCAGCCAAGCCTCCTCAATCATCGGCTACCCCCTCTCCAACTCCCTCTCGAACAGATATAGAAAAATTAAAAGGTATATAATTTTGATTCTTTTTATAATTCCTTTTTAGTTATTTTATGTGTGTGTGAAATAAGAAATATTATGGAAAATTCCCATCATATGATAAAACTGTCTCTCATATGTCAGCATGAATATTAAAATGAAAAAAGAAATTAAACTGAGGTCGTTGAAGATAGTCAGTGGTGCAACATGTTACGATGTATAAGATAAAAAGTGCAGGCTGCATTAAATTGGAGGAATAAAAAGCTTTCAGTGTCCCAACTTCTCATAAACATGTGCGTGGCAAATGGCCAACCACCAATGGTTCTGCATCAACCTGATGCACATTGCAATTGCAGTCAGTCATGGATGAACTATCGTTCACACAATTCTCTTTATTTCAAGTTGTAATAGTATATCTATATATTTCAAACGAAATTTGTGTAACATTCGAATAAATAGTGATAATAATTTATTAATGAAATACATAATAAGAAATATGAATTAAAAAGTAAATTCTGAATAACTCTAATAAGTAATAACAGAAACAAGTGCAGTTTCAAAGTTAATTAAAGAAAGAAATAATGTTTCGAAGAGATTACAATTTTCCAAAAACTGATTAAACACAAACTACATATCTTTGAATCTTATCAAAAACGGAAGAGGAAATAGTGGGATGGAATGTGTTCCTGCTTCTATCTGAGATTGAGCAAACAGCTCGTGGGAGGTTTAGGTGCTCGTCTCGCCGATGAAGTGTCCGATATGATAGTAAGGATCAAACGAGGACTTTCACGATGTTATTACACTCAACCACCTGAGCCACCAGGTAGAATCTCTTACGAAGCGAATTTTTTGCCTACCATATCGTTTACATTTTCTTTTACATCTGTGTACATATTTTAAATTTGAATTATAAAATCATCAAATATTTTAATAAATGCTTATCAAACGTTTCTTCATAAATTCTTCATAAATTGTGCTATCTTTAAACTAAAAATAATTATCTAATTTTTCGGTGAATATATACCATATGTTTTATCTTAAATTGGAAATACCTAAAAACTTAAAATAATCTCAAAATGCGTACAGATCAGTCGATATATTTTTAAGCTTTGAGGAGACAACGTGACCCATGCTGAGGGACCAACGGATGGCCGAGTCTTGTAGTTTATTCAGCTAATTCTTCACTTAAATGCCAGTCTGTGTAGTGATTTCATAGAGTTCAAATCGTTTGAATTTTTTTCTTAAAGTTTTTCTATTTGATAATTTTTAATTTTTAATTTTTAATTTTAAGAAATTTGTTTTAATATAATTTCTTCGAATGGTTAGACCAATACAAAATTTCTTTAATTATTATTTATTAATTTACAATAAAAAGTCTATATGAATAATAACAACTTTAAATTTGCTGTTTAGTGTTTGTCATAAATAATTTAAAATGTTGTATTGGATTTTATAATCTTTAGATATTATTTAAAACGCAATTCTCATTTCATTTTTAATATGGAAGATATATGAATTATTGAAACCAGTTACCTTGAAATAGATCATTTCAATTCCATTAATTTAAATTTATTAAGCGAGATTATTCTATTAAGCAATATATTCTTCTATAGTTCTATTTTTATATCTATTCAAAATTAGATTCATTCATTACATCAAATAGACAACAATAGAAAGTTTTATTTTTGAAACAAAGACCACATTCAAATTTCCAGATGATGAATGAAAAAAGATTTGACGATATATTGGTGCATATTCTTTTGATAAACGCGTGAAAAATTTCAAATAGTTTATTTCTGAGTGAAACGTGAAGATCTTCTGAAAATGGCTACCATAATTGGAGATCCAAAAAGAAACGTGTCCTTAAACACTGCGATTCGCCGTCAGGCAAGTCTTTCAGAATGTCTGACTCAGGCAACTCTTACCCAAGCTCGTCTGAATTTAGCAAGTTAGTGATAAAACTTATGAATTTTCAAAATTTTCATAAATAAATAAAATTTAGCTTTCGATAGATTTAAATAAAATAAAATAATTATTAGAATCTGATTAGAGAGATATAGTTGAGAGAGATTAATATTTTGTATTGTTTTCAGAGAGATCTCCTGAGAAAAAATCGGCTACATTACCTCATTCTAACAGTAATACTTCTCTATCATCGGAAAGGGCTACGAGACCATTACCACCGCCTCCTGAGAGACAATCTTACATTGACAAACCTTGGTTCCACAACGTTACCAGAGAGCAAGCAACAACTCTTATTAAAGAACGTGAGTTTTTGTAATAAACTAGGATAGATTATCATTAAACTTTGGCAATGGGCAAATTTCTATATTCTTAGTTAATTTTTGTTATCCGATTATATTGAATCAATTTATTATTATTTTTTAGAAAGTACTTACGGTAACTCACAAGACGGATACTTCCTTCTGAGACCATCCACGACAAACGTGAATAATCCTTTGGCTTTGGTCCTTTGGTACAGGGATAGAGTATATAATGTTCCAGTCAGGAAAAGGCCTGACAATAGGTAAGCAAGTTTTCCACACTGATATCTTTTGTCCGTACATATTTTTGCTAGGTACTGGACTTATTCTATAGAAATAAAAAATTAAAATAATGAAATATCTTTAAAAACTTCATTAAAAGAATTCTTATGAGAGAGAAAAATAAGAATCGGTAAAAAAATTAAAAATAAATATAAGAAAATTGAACAAAGTCGAGAACTATTTTTTGTATATTTTTTGAATAGGTATGCATTAGGTTCTGCAAAAGTAAATGAGCAATCGTTTTCTAACGTGGAGGAGATCGTGATGTTTTATACAAGAGAAGAATTAGTTCTTCATAGCGGTGGCGTAGAAATGGGAAGCACAAAATTAACGGATACTCCGCCTAAATAAATTTTTAAAAGTTCTCACAAACCAGCTTATGCAATACAAACACTGCCTATTTAAGAATTTCTAAAAGAATTTGCATGTATTTATTCAATAAGTGCCTTTTGTATATGATGATAAATCAATTTCGCATATTTTTTAAAGTTAAAATGCATTTATATATATGAATTGTAACACTCACTGTGAGTATGTTTAGTATTTAAAAAAAAAGAAAAAAAAAATCTCTTATAAAATTGCGTGCATATTTTTTTAATACAGAATTTTTTAGAACATATATAGAACATATACAAATGGTATTTTTGCTAATGTTAAATTTAAAATTAAAATTTAAAGAGCATTGATGTATTGTAGATATTATTTTTGTATTAGAAAAAAAAGTCACTTTGTGCACACAACAAAATAAATATAATTTACATTTTTGTATACTTGTTATAGATTAGATAATTTGGAAGAATTTATAAATATGAAATTATATTAGATAAACAATGATGTATATTAGAGATTTGTAAATAAGAAATTTTTTGTTTCAAAAATAAAATTTCAAGATATAGATAATTATCTTTATTATTATCGATCAACTGTTATAATTATAAAAATTACTGTTTAATTATAAAAAATAATTAAATAATTATAAAAATTGATATTGTAAATAAGAATTATATAATTTGTATCACTATATACAAAGTGACTTTGTATAATTGTGACAGATGTATTTCAAAACATATATTGAATATTACATGTTAACTGAAATCAAATATACTAAAAACAATATACCCAACATCAAAAAAAACATCAAGATCGTTTCAAGATCACTTTTTTTAAAAAGAATGAAATTAAAAATATTAAATAAAAAGTTAAGATTTAATTCAATATTTTACAATATTTAACTTTGATGCAATAACAAATTTAATTAGATTTAGAAATTTAATTAATTAGATTTAATAAATTTAATTAAATATAATTAATATCAATTATTTATTAAATTATTAAGTGCCATATTTAAAATGATCTTGAAACGTTTCCTTTATTTTTAAAAATAATTTTTTTCAATTCGATGTATTCTCTGATTTATGTGGATTAATAAGAATCAACTTTTAGATTGTAATCTATGCATTTATATTTTGCCATTGTTATTGTGAAAATAAAAAATGATAAATTTAAAGAAAAATTTAAATTTGAAGAAAACAGGAACAAAATGTTTTTATTGTAATTTTATCCAATTCTTTTTCAATTTTTAATAGAGTTTTATATTATAAGTTTTTATGCACCAATATGAGCTTAATGAGTTTAATAAAAACATATATATACGGAGTTAATTAATTTTTTACATTGTTCTTTATTTATCAATATTAATACGATTAATAAATTCGAAATGATGAACCTGCAATTTATCCAATCTATTTATCTTGAATTACATTCGATTGATAACGATAACACAAATTAAGTAAACATTCGTGTAATCAAGTTTTTTATTTTCTAAATCTATCAGTAGTTATATATTAAATAATTATACGAGTTCTATTATTGTATAAATTTATTTTTGAAAACAATTTCAAATTAATATATATAGTAATTTCATATAATAAAACTACGTGAACTTGTGCGCGTGAACTTTGAACTGAGAACGATTGCAACACAATTAAAGAAATCATAATATTAGGCGATTTATGCATTTGATTAGTGCTCAATATTAAATTTTGATTCATTTTACTACAATATTCATAAATACAAATTGCTTTTAAATATGAAATTATATAATCTGATAATTTGTACGAAAAATAATGAAATTTATCATGAAAAATTTGACGTATTAATACATTATAAAAATATTAATTTTCTAACGAAAAATAAACTACATTTATATAATATAATAACATTATAATTTATTTATAATAACACATAATTATACTTTATAGTCTTTTAAATATTAAATTTATTGATTCTTTATTATTGAAACAAAGATAAATTAATGTAAATTATCAAATATCAAGAAAAATACAATTCGAATGACGTATTTTAGGCGGGAATTTATAAATTTTTGATCTATAAAAAATATATTTTAAAAATTCCCTAGTTGTTTCAATCTGGTTACTTTCATGACGTCAATCGCTATCGTCGACAATGATGTGGTAGGAGAATGTAGTAGTGAAAGACATGACAGGTTGTGCGCACTACCCCGTTAACTGCTTGTAACTAAATGCCAATTGAGCAGTCCATTTAGCCCATCACTTAAAGCTTTTCAAGAGGTCTTCTATATCTCACGAATCTGGGACGTTGAATAAAAAAATGCTATTTGTTTTGTGAAAATTGCAATGAAATCATTGTATTTTGTTTCATCAATTCCGCGAACTGTGTGATAAAAACAATGCTGACATGAATCAGTTTTTACAAAAGTACAATTCTAAGCGGCAATAATGATGCGTTAAATAAAGTCAATCACTCGAGAAATTGTTCGAGGAAGCAATGGAAGATGAACAGCCAGCAAGAGAGACGAATAAGATTTGCGGTGTATGTGGTGATCGCGCACTCGGTTATAATTTCAACGCGGTTTCGTGTGAAAGTTGCAAAGCTTTCTTCCGACGGAATGCTTTGAAAAACAAGGTGACTAATTTGATAATTCTCCTGTAGATTTTTCATGAATCATTTTTAATACAAAATTGCAATAATATTAATTCTCATATTGGATATTCAATAAATGTATTTATGAGTATGATAAATTAATATCTATTTTGTTTTTTTCTTTTAATTTAAATTAAATGTTATAATAAGATGGCGTAACAGATAGATAAAAATTTGATTTCAGTTAAATAATAACAGCAAAATGATAATAGAAGACAATAGAAAAGAAATTAGTGTTTATATTATAGTTTAAAAGTTTGCTAACTAATAAAATACTTTTTCTTAATTTATTCATTTAAAATTTTTTCACAGGATTTTCGATGTCCATTTACTGAGAATTGTAATATTACTCCAGTCACTAGACGATTCTGTCAAAAATGCCGTTTGGATAAATGCTTTAGCATAGGCATGAGAAAAGAATATATTATGTCTGAAGAAGATAAGGTATTAAAACGACAAAAAATAGAACAAAATCGTGCAAAAAAAAGACCAATTTTAGAGAATACAAAACCATCAAAAATTAAGAAGAGTTTAGATGATTGTAATTTTGATGATACTTCTATGTCAATTAATTCAGTTGCATCAACTGCATCAGACACATATTTCTGGGAGTCTGATAGAAAATATACAGATTTAGATGCAAATAGACAAATTGTAACAGAGAGTTTAAGTCCAGTAACAGCTGCAAGTGTTCCAAGTCCTTCTAGTCCACCAGAAAATGGAGTTATAAGTGGATCAAAAACATTAGACATGATGAAAGACTCTTCACATAATTCTAACTTTGAAAATTATGATCATTCTTCTTCACCTCAAGAAGAAAATGAAGTTGATGTAGAAAAGTTGAGAATGAATTCAAATTCTCCTTCTCAAAATCAGCAAAGGTTTGATAAAATTAAATCTTCTCATAATTTAGAAAAGGATAAAAAATCAATTATAAGTTCAAAAAAGTTTAATCAAAATATATTAGACTTAAATTCTGAATTTACTTCTACTAATCATGAATCTATGAAATATTCTCCTGAATTTGATAATGCATCTTGTTACAATAAGTTTGATTCTAGCTCTATACAGAGTTCTCAATATATTGAACATACAACACATTATAAAAGAACGAATATAGATATGAATTCAGAAATCCATATGGAAATTTCTTCAGAAGAAGCAGTATCTAGTCAAAAACAAAATAAGGAAACATATCCAAAGGAAGATAATTTCGTTAGTAATAAATTCCCACAAGAATCTACTTTGATCGCGAAACTCGTTAATAATTCGAGTTTTATTACGAAAATATTTCAAAATGAAGAATTACTCTTAAAGATTATGTCAGATCCTGTTGTTATTAGTAAATTAGAGGCAGATCCTCAAATTTCACAATTCTTTAAAAAAAATGGAATCATTGCAGATAAAGAAGTTTCATCTGAGAAAGAAACGAATATTCATTTAAAAGATGATGTGAAACTAAATCACAATAATTCCAATCAAAATGTATTTAAACCAATATTCAAAGTTAAACAGAGACAAATAGAAAATCCAATTTTAACTGATTTAATTACAAATTCGAGTCAAGAAGAATGTATAAAAATACAACGTGATGAATCTAATAGTTCTGAATGGAATAAAAATCTATCTGATGTCACAAGAGATGTGCTTCAAGATGTACAAAGGTATAGTCAAAATTTACATTTGTTTAAGATCTAAAAAATCATTTTAAAATGTGTCATTTATGGATTATATTTCAGAATACCAATTGCTGCGAATTCCATTGAATCTATTCTTTGTGAAGCAATTAAATTAGAATTTTCAGCATATTCTACTCTTGGTGGTATGGAGACTAGAAAAATATTAAATGATGCTGAAAGAGCAAAGTTAAATGAATTAATAGTAGCCAATAAAGCATTATTAGCTCCTTTAGACGAAGATATAACAAATTTAATTGGAGAAGATTGTAAATTTAAGGTAATATTTATTTTTAAAATGGTTTAAAAATATTTTTAGATGTTAACATATTTTTGATAAATTCTATTTCAGAATAATTTTGGTCAATCCGATCCAGCTCTATTAGATGTTGTGAATCTTACTGCCATAGCCATTAGACGCTTAATAAAAATGGCGAAAAAAATAAATGCGTTTAAAAATATGTGTCAAGAAGATCAAATAGCTCTTTTAAAAGGAGGATGTACAGAAATGATGATTTTAAGATCAGCACTCAATTATGATATTGAGAAAGATATGTGGTGGATACCACATAGTCAAGAAAGTATGTCTAATATAAAAGTAGATGTATTAAAAGAAGCAAAAGGAAATCTTTATGCAGAACATGCAAGATTTATTAGAAGTTTTGATCCAAGATGGAGAGATGAGAATATAATTTTAATTTTAAGTGCAATTGCTTTATTTACACCTGACAGACCAAAAGTGGTGCATAATGATGTAATCAAATTAGAACAAGTAAGTTTAATACTTTTTATGTATAATGTTATCTGTTATATAATTTTTAATAATATATTTTTTTTATAGAATTCTTATTATTACTTGCTTAGACGCTATCTAGAAAGTGTTTATTCCGGATGTGAAGCCAAATCCATGTTTTTAAAATTAATTCAAAAAATTTCCGATCTTCATAGATTAAACAACGAAGTTGTTGGAGTATATCTTAATTTAAATCCGTCGAGAGTAGAGCCACTTCTTATAGAGATATTTGATTTGAAACATTGATCGAACGTGTTCAATAATGAATAGATATTAAATGTAAAATGTTTTTAATTAGTATTTCTCTAAATAGCAAAAATAAAACTATTATGAATTTATGTCAATAGATCGCATGTTCGTACAAGTAATTAATAGCAATAATATTGAAGAGAGAAATGTTATAACTATGAAATCAGAATGTGATTGGAAATATACAAATATATATAGGTTAATGTACATAAAATTATATGAACAATATCGCCAAAAGTTTATTCGTATCAGAATATCGATATAGAATTACATACATTAAAATATCTATATCGATTTACAGTAATGTTCTGTTAACATCAAAATATTTCGATTTATATAATATTCAAATTATCAATATAAAACTACAAAACAAATATAATACTATCAAATCTATAATAAATTTAGATTTCTATCTTCTTCCATATTTAAATCACATTAATAAAATAAACATAATAAATGTGAAGTAGAAAAGAATTATATTCTATTTCAAGATTTGAAACTATAAATTATTATTTTGATTGCTAAAATGAATTTTTAATTTTTTAATATCCTTGATTAAACTAAACGGACGATACGCATTTATTAATTTGAGTTCATTAATTTAAAAATTTAAAAATTATAAGTTCTTTTTAATCGATATTAACGGAACATTATTTTAATTAATTTCTGATAGAATGTAAAAAATTATTGTAATCTTTATTTTTATGTAAAATATTAATATCAACGATTGTCTAATCATAAAGATAATTTTCAGAGATAGTTCGAAATATAAAGGTATTTCGTCATTTCACATCATTTTTTCGAGAATAAATATATTTGTTCATATGTTAACGAAAGTACCTTAAATTGTTAAATCTAGAGAAAATTTGTTATATCAGTATCAAGTTCTATATTCATGTTTAACGAATTTATAAATATAAAAGAAAAATATTTCTTTATTTCAAAATAAATTAAAAATTATGTATGATAAACATGAATTCAGTACTTGGTATAAAAATTGAAAAAATCAATACAAGCAAGAGAATGCAAGATATAAATTGTGTAATGTGTATTCACGTTACAAATATTAGTATGTAAGTAATAAATTGTGATATTGAGTCAAAATATATTTTTCAGATACTTGTTATATATGACTTTAAATATATTATTTCATTCCTTTTACTATTATATTATTAATTAATTTTGTATTTCATAGATTATATACGATTTAAAAATAATACCTTTTTTAAATTAGCCGTCATTTTCAGGCCAATAACCAAATAATCGCAGGATTACAATTATAATGAGGCAACAAGAGGTAAGAAACAATGCGAAGCTGACGAGAAGAAGGAACAGATATCCCAGTATTCTAAGGACGGATAGAAACAAGTAAACTACCCAATCCCAGATTGTTTTCAATATCATTTTATGTATCACTTAAAATTTATCAAAAAGAAAATAAAAGAGACAACGGGATAATCGATATTTCATATCCGATATGCTATAGTGGTGACAGAATCTTTATCAACGAATTAATCAAATGAGAATGTCAATTGTTATACATACATAAATATAACGAACGATTAATAAATTTATTGCTTGCAATTTCTTTATATTTGTTGCTATTGAAAATATTCTATAAGAGATATGTATAAAATGTAAGTATAAAATATAATCATCGTTGTTATTTGTTCTTTTATTTATAATTCCTATTCGTAACGCTACAAAGAATGTATTGGGGATTTTCAGTTTCTATTAAATCTTTTGATACGTCAAATTTTACATAATTATCGCGCTTATAGTGATAAAATGGTTCAATGTTATCTTCATAGGATTTCGTGAATATCCAATTGATTTTTTCAGCTGCAAGATAACAAGCGCCCAACGCAGATGTTACTTTTAAACGAATCAAAGTTAATTCATCCAAAACTTGAGATTCATGGATTTCATCTATAAAAGCATCCTTCATAAAATTCCATGATTTCCAGACTGATCCGACGCAAATAATCTTTAATCCTCCGTGAGCTAATTTGAGATCCTAAAAAATCATTTCTTATATTCAAACAAAATATATATTTAATTTATAAATTTAAATAACTCACATTATGGGCCTTCTTCGCGAGAGCTATAACGTGTTTTGCAAGATATTTTCCATTTTCCTGGAGAATATGTAAACAAAGCAGATCTTTTTTTTCACAACCTATCACAATTTCCTTGGCAAATTTAGCGAAATTGGTTTTATCAAACTCATTATAAAAATGTGATAGCATCTCTTTTCTATCTGTTGCATTGAAATAATATCTCATAGCTGGCCATACATAATTTATAGGTTTAGGTGCTTTAATTAAATCATCTATATCATCGAATACATATTTACAAGCTCTATACGCGATCCAGAAAGCTAAAAATTTATTTTTATAACAATTATAAAATTTATTATAATAAAAATAATTAAAATCAGTTTTTTAATATTATAATCTCGGCCAGATATATCAATCACTTAAGGTCATTTCCTTTTATAGCGAATCAAACAATCTCTACCACTTACCACTGCCTTCGTCCCCTATAAAATATCCCCATCCGCCGCATGTTGTCGTTGTTCCATCTAAATTGACCATCAAGGCATTCGAACCGGTGCCAGCAATTAAAACTATTCCACCGTTTTCTAAAGCTGTTCTAAGACTACCCATAGTATCTGAATTGATATAATAAGATTTAGCAGCATTTGGATATTTCTGTTGCATCGTTTCCATAAGCATACGATTGGTTTTTTCTTCTTCGCATCCGCTCAGAGTAAGACCCTATCGATTTAATCGATTTTTTCAATTTAATTTGTCGATGATAACAATCCTTATCATATATACGAATTAGTCATTGATATTATTCATTCAAATTGCAATAATTTTTTAATATTTACCAAGCAATCTAAAGGAATTATTTCAGACATTTCTATATTCTGTTTTCCTATTTCCACCATAGCGTTGATTCTGGCACTTGTTTCTTCTATTCCAAGAACCTGAATAAGACACACATAAAATATAAAAAAATAATTAAATAATATATAATAAAAAAATAAGAAAATAAATAATGATAAGAATAAGAAATTAATGGAGCAGGAATACATGACGATTGTTCAAATATTCAATTAATACCCAATGATTAGTGCTCGGTCCTTTGACTTCCGTCAACACTTTTCCTTTTCCATCGATGATGACTAGCGTAGATTCAGTACCGCCGCTGAAAAATAATTAAATTTACTGAATTTATTAATAAATTTATTTTATGTTACTATATCAATTATTAATATATCAGTTCTTTATTTTCGATTGTTCATAATGTTAATATAATAGCACATATGGAGCAGATAGAAGAAATATGAATATATATTTAAGAACAGAATATAATAGACTGTTACAATCACTTAAAATAATCATAGAATTAGACCGTTACTTGATTTTATACATATTCCAATTATATCGAGAAGCATATCGAAATTAAATATTTTATAATGATTATATATAAAAATATAAAAAGAAATATTTCCTAACAAATATAAATGTATAATTTATAAAATCAGATAAGAGATATAAAATGTTTAATAAATAATACTAATTTTTTATCTTATTTTATGTTCAAATAAAACAAATTCACAAATTATAATATGATTTAATATATCATACATTATATATATTTACTGATAATGATGATATGACAAATCATAAACATATAATTTTTTATATTTTTTTTTAAATATAAATAAAGAACAAATTTTACTTTAAAATATAAATATTTCGTTTATATGTTTATTTATTTCGATAAACATTGATAAACATAAAACTTTTCAAATTTCAATGAATTTTGACAATGAATTTTATATCGAAAATATTTTTTCACTATTTATAAAACTATAATAACATTTATACAAAGAAAAATTGTAAATCAAAAAAATGAAAATTTGTATCAGCGATTTAAATTTCGAAATCAAAGATAAATCGCAATTATAAGTTACATAACTTTTCTACTTATTATTCCAAAAATTAAATTATTTAAATTATTAATAAATCTTTTTTTAAAAATAAATATTTTAATATGATTTTAAATAAATATTTAGATAAATATATGAATTCTGAATATAGATTTTAAAATCAAATTTTGATTATGATGCTATATATAATGCTATACGATAACAGATAATATGTTTATATATTCTAATTGGATTTTATCAATGTATATTAATGAGGAAAGAATTTACTAGTTAAAGTTATTGCATTGATATTACAACTATAATTTATTAGAAATTTACTAAAATTTTCATGATTTAAATAAAAATATCAAAAAAGACGAAGACAAAAAATTTTTTTAAAATCTCTTACCCCTCGATGCCCCCGATCCTTATTTCTTCAGGATATTCTGGTAACTCTACCGGTGGTTTAATTAATTCTTCGTCTTCTAACATTCTTTTTCTTTGTTTTCTTAATTCCCTACGAAGTTCATTTTCATCAATCTTTTTTTTCTTTGCCCTCTTTCTTCTTCCTGTCATTTTTTTAATGATATGATTTCAAATTTTATTTCATGATTTTTTTCATTATTTTTTCTTTCGAGAAAAGGATCCAGGAATTTGAGGATGGGATTTAAACAGGCATATTTATCTAATAATGTACAAAAAATATAAATTTAAACATTTTATATAAGAATAGACTAAAGAATAAAAGAGAATGATAAATTCTTTAGATAAAATAGATAGAATAGATAGAATAGATAAAATAATACAATAAAAAATATATTTTTATTTTGTAAAAAAATTCTAAATATTTAAATTTTAAGATTTATAGATAAAAAAACATAATATTTAAAATATATATAAGTATAAACTTAACAATATAAATGGGTAAATAATATAATCATATGATATATATTAAGTTTCTGTATTGTGTCAACTTACAATAAAGACTTGGAGTATGATTAAATAAGCATATGTCGAGCAATTATTAAAAATGTTGAAAATTTATAAAGAATAATCCCACGTGATACAAAAATTTTGAAATGGAGAAATGTAAAAAGTACTATAATGTTAGTGGCGAATGTTTACCTATAACTAGAGAATTGCTATGCTAGGAGAAGTTGCCTTCGTTACTACTGTTGCGTTGTTCACGTTACATACAACTTAAATATTGCATCCACTACAATGAAATTTCATGAAATGTTAGAGAAAAGTAGGGATTTGAGACCTAACATTAACTGAAAAACTGTTGGATGATCAACGAGTCAATAATCGACTGGTCTGACATCGATAAAAAACTTTGAGAACTAAATAAATTTCTTATTTTCTTATCGATAAAATTTCATAAAAAAAAAGTATATCTTAAATAAAAATTCTATAAATTATAATAATATCATCTATTTTTATCAAAACAATAAGTGATTTATAAATAATATTGGTATGTGATATTTAATTTTTAGAAATTATACTCCTAAAGAAGTTTAAATTACATAGTAGAATTCTCCAATCATATACACATTGTAGGCGACATCTGCCAGTAATTATTGAAACTAATAATACCAAAAATATTTTTAGAGTGTGCTATCTACTTGAAAGTCCGATTAGTATTATAGTTCGTGGTTGCGACACCGTGAGAGCCGCGCGGTGGCGACCGCACTCTCAAGTTCGGCAGCGCGCAGCGAGTTGCATCGAAACGCGAGCGAGAAGGTGCCCATATGTATTTCGTCCGGTGCGTCGCCGTCGGCCATTGTCTCTGACATGGAAGCCTATCAAAATGGCAGAAGTCGTGCAGATGTTTTTGTTCCTATATAAATCGAAGTATCGTCGGAAAGGGCAGTGCCGTGAGGTGGTACGAGATCAGTGCGGTGTAATTGCGGTGCCGTGGCCAATACTGTGGGCGGCGCTGATTTGTTGGGTGGTGCACGTAACTGCGGCTGCCTCCTCCTCCTCATCGTCGCTGACGACGGATACGACCTGCGACACGGACAGTTGCGTCAACGGAGACTGTGTCAATGGCACTTGCGTGTGCCACGAGGGTTGGCAGGGTTCGGCGTGTCAATTTTGCGGCGGAAAAGTCAAGTGAGTAAGATAGAATGCGCGAGCATATCTTTCTTATAATATTCGAGTTCCATTTATTTTCGATAGCAATTTCTTATTATATTAATTATAATGTAAATATATTTTTTTTTTTTATAAAAAATCGATAGCAATAATATCTATAAAATTATATGGTTGAAGACACAAATAGGCTAACTGTACATTCTGTCGAACGTGCAACGGTATTGACGGCTTTTTAGGTCGACTTGGTTTCTTAGCAGATTGATTGTCTTTTTTCAAATCTTTTTTCGAGGAGACATGTAAATAAACTGGAGAGAACGTGCGTATGCGCGCCTTCCTTGAATTTAATTGCTGTATGCGCGTCTCATGGCCTTTCATAAGAAGGGGAACGGGGAGTGTTCGGTCATTGTCTGCGGCTCTGGTTGACAATGAAGAGCCAACTCGTTAATCAGGACATTGGTAAATCTAACGATAACACTGACCGCGGAAATTAGTCTGGTTAGCTTTGGTTCGATACATTTCGCGATTTAATTTGCCGGAGATTAGATTTTATATTGATCGATCGCTACGGTTTTAAACTTGGCAGGGAAATTACAGTTTCCGCCACTGTCAAGGCTGCTTTTTCACGCGCGCTTAACGTAATAATCCCCCTCCTTGTTAACGACGACGGAATGTTCATCCAAAACATCGAATTCTGCATTCTAGAATGCTTGTGTAATATTTATTCTAGAATTGCACGTAGGCACTTGAGAACACTCGGCATCCCTGGTGTTGAGCAATTGCGGTGAAATCTAATGCGAATGTCGCTACGGAACTCTCTCTTTGTTGCGTTTTGTATTTTGATTCATTATGTCGAGATATATAATAAAAAGTTAGTAACAATCGCTAAGATTTGAACAACGATTATATGTTAAGTTTCTATGAAATGTATTACAAATATTATCTTGATTAGTAGTTATCCTTCGTTTTTTATGCATTATTTTACATGCATTATATTTTTCATTAAGAATTTTCATCATGATATCATATTGAGATACATAAGTTGATTGCTAATTAATATTCATAATAAATAAGTAAAATAAAAGAATGATAATATTGCTTTCCAAAGTCTCATTGATATTAGTCAAATAGTTGATCAACACTTTTGCTAAATATTAATTCCTAAAAATTCATCAATCACATGCATGATTATGTTTCATAAATGAATACTATATATTACATTCGCGTGCTTTCATAAACGCATTATATATATAGTAAATATTGATATACTTGTGGAAAGTTTGAAATCGGATATCTGATCGCTTCGTAGTGATGTTTTAACGACGTAAATTGATCGGACTTAACCTGGATTCAACTAGAGGATGCCGTTTCAAAATTTCATCGTATTCGTGAATAATTGGCGCTGGAAATAACCGCGCCTCCGGGGCCACGTAAACGTGAACTTCTAGACACGAAACAAAACAGTGAAAAGAAAGGGGGCGTTCTTAATCACGAAAACAACCATGCATGCTTGGTACATCGTTGCATCTATTTATTCATTACTCTATGCTTGTCATGGATTAACGAGATGAAAATGCTGACGATATATCACACAAAATGGTCTATTATCGTTCTTATTTTCTACAAATATGATCGTAACACATATTTGCAATGTCTTGAAGAATTTATCATTTTAAATTTATTGCATATCAAGTATTCTTGTGTATATATATGTAACGCATTGGAAAAATCTTTTTTTTTAAACGTATTAAAGCATTTTTTATAATGTTGCTCATTTAAAATATAAACATAATCCATACAATAGTCAATGAGCAATAATGCGACTATGTTAATTCGTTAATCAGTCCATCTCTTCTCTATTGTAACTCATTTTAATTTGAATTGCGCGCGCTAATTATGAAAGACATGCGTGCTTTTGTTTTGACAGCAGTTCACACTTGTGCGAATGATTAAACACTTATTAAAGACTTTGTTAAACGATGAATAGTTCGTAATGATTTTTCTTAATTAATTTATTGTTAATTAAAAAATTGCTAAACTTTAACTTTGTTGAGTGAAATTTTAAAAATTTCAGTGTATTCTTTTTACGTTATTTTGAATTTTTTACATTATCAAATATAGAATAACAAGAATGTTTCATTCAGGCAAGATTTGATTCATTTTTATCAGTATTAATTAGTTAATATTAATTTCTTCTTTTTTATTATAAATTCTTTTTTTTTGCTTGCAAGAAGAATTCTTTTTTACAAGATCGCTGTGATTATTTATAGAAAATTTTTAATTTAAATTTAAAAATTTTTAACATTTCAATGATTATAATACTGATTTTTGAAAGATAGTGATCAAGTGTCTCCTACTGAATGTGAAGATTGATTATTATGGTTAATTATAGAATGTCTTGTTTGGAGGGAGGTTAAGAAACAATATGTTAATGCAACTAAACTTCGATCCGCTCTAATCGAAGTATTATCATAATATCTCGTGAAGATAGAACGAATATAGAACATTTCAGGTAACCCGGGTACACGCGTTACAAGAATGCGAAACAACGGCGGTAAACGAGCCGACACGGGAGATTCTTCAAGTGGAAACAAGGGAAGAGAAGGCGGTCTCGAAGGACCGAGGTGAGAAACAAAGTTCCTCGCCGTTTCCTAACAATAGAGAAACGATTTCGGTACAATATCGTGTAATATTGTACATATATAGATAATACCAGAACATAAACAAACGATAATATCGTTTTACAGCTCGTAAAAATTTCGTTTTCATTGAAAATTCGTTAGAAGATTCTTTTTTCTTCTATGATTAATAATTCAGGTAATCCACATATAATATTTGATAATTCATAAATATAATTCATATTGAAAATTTATAATTTCCCTTTTAATTTTGTCTTCAGTCTTTATATTGTTGCCTAATAAAATTGTTATCTAATATTTGCTAATATTTTTATTAATATCATTTAATTTATTTCTTACAGAAATCTATGGTTCAATAGTCATAAAAAATTGAACGCTTGAAAAATTGATTGTTAAATTCGATTTCCATTTTTATTTTGGAATCAGTGAGTCACATGTAATCAAACTTAAAAGTATATTTAATAACTTCTTGAAAATTCAAATCAGAATTGAGCAATATTTAATGAAAATAAATATTAAAGATTATGATTGAAATATATAATTATCAATCACAATTAAATTGAATTTTTATTTAATTTATATGTAATCATAATTAAATTAATTATACAATTGATATTTCGATTAATTATTAAAATTCTTTTTCAGGAATTAATAATCTGAATAAGATATTATTTTATTTTAATTAAATTTCGATAAAAAATTGATTAATAATTGACGATTAATATTTTTACGAATGATTGATGATTCATCATTTGATTAAATCAGTCATGATTTTTGGTAATCAATTTTTTTTAGTCATAAATATTAATCGATCAATCAAAAAAAAAATTTAATGGATTATTAGATTGATATCGAATGTTATTTTTCGTTTTCTTTCTTTTTCTTGATCGAGACAATTTTACTTAAAGTATAATTCTCTATAATAATTATGAACCCAAACTATATAAAATCTACAAAAAAAGAAATATATCGAACAACACTATCTGATGTTTGCAATTAGCAATTATTTTAATAATCCAAGATATAATTTCTCACATTTATTCGTACAAATAATAAAAGGAAATAAAAGTGATGAAATATCGAACGATATAAGAATAATTCTGGATTCTCTTATATATAATAATCATATATAATAATCTCTTATATATAACAAACTTATATATAATAATATTCGTTAAATTCCTATAAATAAATGAATCTGTCGTGAATGTTCATTAATTCAGAGTATTAAGAGATCCAATTCGCTTGGAATAGTAATTAACACCGAATGGATGTAATTAATCTCATAATAAGGTATGTTCTAGTACAATCTTATGCATTCATTGGTTATCGATTCAGTTGGCGAAATGAATGATATCAAATTGCAGAGTACAAACAGACTGTTGTGGCTGATGGTAAACGTTATCAACAGTAATTAATACACAGTATAGGAAGATTAGCACGATTATGATAAAACAGTGTTCTGCTCGATAATTATTGACCACAACAATTGGATTCTCTCATTTAGAAACCATAAATAATCTGGTATTTTATAAATTATATATAGATTTAAATACTATTTAAATAGGAATCTAAAATTTATATAAATTTATGAAATTAAATCTGTAAATAGAAGAAGAGAATTTAAAATTATTTTCTTTTTATGAAAAGTAATTTTACTTTATTATAAATTTTATTATTATTTTATTTAAATTTTATTATTCAATATATATATTTTTTCTTTTTCTCAATATCTTAGTGATTATTTTTATCCCTATTGATTCATTTCGAATCTTTTGAAGTATTATGTTTTTAATAATATTCTGATTACATAATTGATGGTCTTTGATTTTAGAATCATTGAATATGAGATTATGAGAAATAAAAGTGATTATTGCACTTTGAATGTCTGCATTGATAATTATTTCATTTTGAATATGATTATTAAATATTGCGCAACTAAAAAAACTAAATCATGCAACATAGTGTTGCGTATATCTGTTTACAAAAACTTGAATTTATATAATAGGGAACGATATAGAAAATTGATACGTGAGTTTTTTCTTGTGCAAACGCGAAAGTTATTACTTGCACGCATGTTAAATGAAACAATACCCGTAGGTGGCATTGTGTTTTCAAAATTATTTCGACAAACAGGCCATGAAGTTTCTCAGTACATACAGAAAAACGATTCGACGTATTAGAAATTTTCTCATGATCCTGTAGCCGTTTCAAATTTCTTCCAGTTCAATCCAGAAGCACAAAGTAGATACCGGTGTATGTTCCAGAGGCCAAGTAATAGCTAGGGAAATTGGAAAGCGTTCTAAATGCCACCCGGTCCATAAACTCCTCCTTCTCCTCCTCCTCCTCCTCTTCATCCTCTGCATTCGTGCATACGTTTAATCCGGTTGAATATCAAATATTCACGTCAACGTTTATTATATGACAAATACATTGATATGATCTAACATTCTATTCAATATAATACCAGATCAAAATCAATATCTAATTTCAATATTCATATTCAATATTTCAATCCACAATGAACATTTTACCGTTTTAAAATTATTTTTCAAATTATTTATCTATAAATATAAATAATTAATTCAAATATTAATTCGTTTTATAATTTAATATTAATTAATAATTAAAAAAATATATTAATAAAAAATTATTAAATTATACATTATCCCATATAATACTCGTTTTAATTCGATTTGTCTCTCAATTTCAAATAAGACAATTTCCTCTATAATTTAATCAATATTCAACTTAAAAATTTACGAAATTTATAATTTCAAATCGTATTAAAAATATCCATTATTCGGTCTTAATATATACTTTATATTATAATCTGACGTCTGATTGAAAGTCCTCCCATTCGCTTTGATTCCAATCTCAATTCATCGAATTTTAAACGGCTCTCGCCACACAGGGTCATCCGTTCGATCTTGTTGAAATGAAGCTACCTGGCGGCGCGTGGACAAAAACCGGCAGGACAACCGGTAAGAATTTCGACTACGTTCCAGTTCCAGATTGGCGTCGATCTAGAAAATGACGTACAAATTTATCCTCAGAATGAAAATTGACGAACTTTTACGTCTTCCATGTCCAACCTTTCGAGAACTGGAGGTGCAATCAGTGGCACCGTGCCGGTTTCCCGCTAGGTTTTATCCGTTCTATCCTATCATTGAATTATGAAGGATAAAACTTTATATAATATCTATTGGAATAATATGGAGAGATGATATGGAGAGAGAATCGTGGAAGTTGGATTAAAATCGATTTTTTTTTTTTTTGCGATTGATCATTCGGTGCTCAATTTTCTCTTTCCATTTTGAAAATCACTTAAGATTTTATGTATTGGATCTTTTATTATTGGATCTTTTATGTATTGGATCTTTATTTCGATTGTTGTTCGATGATCGATTTAAATCGTTTTGTTATAATCGAATGTTAGTCCATGTTGATTAAAACGTATTTTTGTGATCAGGGATCTGATCATATAAATACTATGATTAAGTACTTTTTACTTGAAATAAAATTTTTTGCAAATAAATTCTAAAACATTATTTTAAATGATTTATTCATCAAGAGTTTGATTATTATTTGAAATAATAATAGAAATTAAATAATAAAGTTATTAGTACAAGAAACTTTGAAAAATAATATACTCAGAGAAGGCAATAAAAAAGTGGCTCAAAAAAACCATTCCATATTTTTGCAGTAAAATCAGATAATCTAAATATTGAATAAATAAATAAAATTATTAAATAAAATAAACAAAATTATCGAAAAATCGAAGTCCAATCATTTATCGATTCAAGCTAGTATGCAAATACTAAGAAATATTGAATGAAGTTAATATAATCGTCGAGAGCCACGAAAATATGGCTTATTTGCTCAGTGGTAAATTAATCAGTTATCGCGATCCAAATAAATAATATTTAGTTATTAAAATAAACGAATATTCTAATATTAATTGTAATTTTAACATCGAAAGTGGAATAGAGAACGGTTCTATCATCAGAAGAAATAATCATATCTTCGAAGACAGTATCTACATGAATAGCAGACTTATATGAATAATATGGAATGGTAATTAAATTCGCCACGTTTTTTTAGTCGATTGATTACAAATTTAATAGCCAATTATATAGTTATCTAGAAATAAACATTTCGTATAAAAATGTAAACATGTGGAAATTGTTTACGACATTGTTTGATTTAATGTTGATTAATTCGTACTTTACCAATTTTCTTTCGTATAAAAGTTACTTAATTGAATCAATGTCACGATTTCTGTAGGACAGCAAAAAGACCAGGGCTTATTTTATGATAGGATTATAAACTAAATTGATCGATAAGAATTTTAATTATATTGAAGCGTATTTTTGGCTTATCGGTTTTTGGTTTATCTAGATCTATTTAGGTGTTAGGTAATTTTGTATTCTGCTGCAGAATTGCAAGTTAAATTAAATGGTGTAATTTAAATGGAAGATTAGTAAAACGAAGGAAAACAAAATTCTATGCATGCACAAGTGGCATTTTCCTTCATTTCTTTAAATTATAAGATTGTTTGTTTATCTAACAAACATATTTATTAATGTAGTTATTTTTCTATGTTAATAACATAGTTAGTTATTAAAAAAATTTTTCATAAATAAAATTAATAAAAAATAAAATTTTTCTAAATTATAATATTTATTAAAATATTTATTATAGTTATTTTTATTTAAATTAAAAAGAGAATCATATCATAAAAATAAAATTCAATTCTAATATTTATTACATATTTATCATTAACCTTAATAGGTATCTTCAAAGATTGAATTATTAAATTATGCAAATCTTCACTCCTGATACTTATGTTACTACTTAATTTACTATTCCAAAGGCGTAATTATATCAGTTTAAAATAAAAAAAAAAAAAAAATCAGAGAAAAGAGAGAGAAAAAAAAGCGAACAAAGTTTCATCGCATAGCATTACACTTCTCCTTAGTACCGTAAGTCTCATAAAAATCCAACCAACCATAGTTCCAGAATCACGCTCTATTTTCTCGTAAATCTCAAGCACTCTTCAGAAGATGTTCTTCGTCTTCTTCTTCTTCTTCTTCTTCTTTCGAGTGGTTCCCTTTATGGTTCGCGCCAATGCTTCATCCTAAATATCCATCGTTGTTCCTTTACCCGTTTTCTCTTCTTTGCCTATTTTCTTCTCTTAATTTCATCGTGCCATGAGTTGATGTTGAAATTTGTTTTTACATCCCTTCACGGAGAATCTTGCGCGCGCATCTTTCATTACGAATTCTTCCCGCGCTTCTTAGTCATCTGCCAGTTCAGTAAATTGCATTGGCCCTGCAACAAGCATGGCATTTCGTAGACATTGGAAATTATTCTTTAATTTACGAGTTGCAGGTGAACGAACTTTGCCTTTTAACGTTTATTAGCACTATTAGATTTCGAATATTCTAATCTTTTCAAAGCTAAATTCAATATCAATAATATGTGAATGATTTATTCATAGTATTCGTACTTAAATTGAAAAATTCAATTTTTTTTTTTAAATAGAAATAAAATCATGGACATAGGACCACAAAGAATTAAGATATTTATTATATTTAATTAAAAATAGGAAAAAATTGGGTAACTATTAAAAGTAAAGTTTATAAAAATAAATATTAAATTAATATTTATGATTTAATAATCTATTAATAATGATAATATTAGAAATGATAAAAACTTTTCTTCTAATAAAACTTTATTCAAGTTAAATTATAAATATTTTATATGTATTACTGTAGATGTATTCAATCATAATAAATTAAATCATTTTTCTTGAATGACTTCTTTATAAAATTATTTTATCATATATATATATAATTTCTAAAATGAATGATGCAAAAGATGAAATAGACAAAAATGTCATGATGATAACATTATAAAATATTTAAAAATACTGACTGATCGCAAAACATTGATGTTTTTGTGTAAATGTAATTAAATTAGAATAGATTGCTTGAAGAAATAGATAATTTAAGATTTGTGTTAAATATTTATTAAATGATCGATGAAATATGAAACTTTTTAACGATTACATATTCTAGAAGATTCTATAAATCATTTCTTATTATACTGTAAAATTTATTATTGACATTGTATTATAAAAATCAGTATAATGTCAATATCGTGATTTGATTATTAATATCATATGATCATAAATCTATTTCTTTTATTAATAATAATAAAATTCCTAATATACTAAATAATTGAAAAAATCTTTTACTATAAGTCAGTTAATTAAATTTATAAATTTAATTAACTAATAATATAATAAATATATGATAATATAATTCAATGATTCAATGTTTCTAGAAAAAATTAATAAATAAATAATAATTATGTTAAAATAAAATAAACATAATATTTCTTAGCCTAAAATTCAATCTGACAGGGACACGAGAAATTTAAAAATTTTTCTCTCAAATCATAAATATGATATATACAAATATTAGATTCATTTATTTTGATACAAGAATCTTGATACTTTCTAATATAATGTACTAATTCTTAAAATAAATATATTGACTTACAATATTTTATTTTTTAGTTCTATAAAATTTAAGTATGTACGAAATTTCCTCAATGATTCATAATTTATATTCAATTTACACTATCATTCTACTTATTCAAATTATCCAAACATTACATCTTGCTGAATCTTCAAATACACATAACTATTTATATACTATATTTACAAACTTAATTTAAAAAAGAGAACAGTATAAACTCAGCATTCCGATATCTTAAACAACGCATTAAGCCAATTAAATACAAATCAAACAAAAGAAAAACGTGTCCCTTCTCTGTTTTTTTTGGAGACTGCAATACTGTAGAAATTATCTAATTGATGATTAAAGTCAAGAAAAGATAATAAGATCGGTCGATTTCCTCAATTGGTAAACAATGTGTCGAACAAGAAAAGAGATAGTTTCTTACTTGTATATCCCACGAGAAAAATAGCAAAACGTCCAAATCATAAATTCTCCATTGTGTCGTTGCATCCCTCGTCGACATTCCCTTACTCTAATTTACCGCGTTTCTTTTAATAGCCATAGAGTCCTTTGCTTCCTCCATCGTTTGGCTTCGCATAAAGGCCGAGCTACGCCGCGCTGTGGCGCGTCGGTCGTCGAACCTCCTCTATGACTCATCCGGCGCCTTCTCGTTATTGAAAAAATATTATTTCGTGCTAATGAGAAACATATACAAACCGTGGAAGGAGATATAGACAAATCTTGTCGTTGTATTAGAATTAATTGTCGTAAATTATGCCACTCGTGTAAATTTTATTGCGTGAAATTTTTTTTTCATGAGAATTTTTTTCATATTTTGTCTGTTTATGAAGGAAATCTGGAAAATTTAAAAATACAAAAATATATAAATTTTATATATGAAAAATTTATAAAATATTAAAAATTATAATATTCATAATAATATTCATAATAATATTTGGTTGAAATAAGTCATATTTCTAGAATTCATTTTTTTAATTGTATTAATGAAAATATGAATATGTATATAAATTTATATGTTCATATAAATTGAAGTTTAAAGTAAATTTGAATTTCATTTCATGTTTGCGAATTATTTTATGGAAAAATCGTAGAATGAATAACTATAAAAAAATCGAAATCAAAATTTCATTCCAAAATTTTAAAATTTCAAAAATTTTTTATATACATAAAAATTTTTTTAATTTTATAAATGAATTTTAGAATGATTATTAACCGCGTAGGTGGATAATCGCATCTGTGAGAAATCGTTGCGCAATTAACGCGAGACGAATTAATTATTGTCGGTGAAGTGAACATGTTTCCTAAAGATTGTGTTGCGAACAGATTATTGAATACTTGTTTGCAAAGATATTTTAATTATTATGTAAATCGATAATATTATTAAATTATTTGTATAATCAATTTTTTATAATATCAGACAGATATATTCTGTCTAAATTCATAAATCTAATTGTAAATATTTTAAGCAATAATTTAAAAAGTCAAATAAAATCATGAAATAAAAGAATGTTTCGAAATAATTATTATTTTGCTTTCATCATTGAAAATAAAGTGAAATAATGTATATATAAATATGCAAATTAAAGATAAAAAAGAAATCTCCACTATTGAAAGACAACAGTTTATCAATAATCGAACATAAAATTCAATAATTTAAATTGATACGTAAAAAATTAACAGAAACAATAGAATTAATATAATATGGGTACTAACCTTTTGAAGACTAATGGAATAATAAAATGATGCTCTTTCGCACGAACTGTCGATTTTTAACTATGACATTTTCTTGAATGATAAATGTGTAGATTAAAAAATGGTACTTTATGATATATATATTTCTCGCAATAAAATAAGAATCGGTTGAATAATTTTATTGGTCTTGTAAAACTTTATAAAATTTATTAGCTTATTTCATAAATTTTATATTTTTAGACATAATTAATTATTTTCCTTTTCAATCAATATCACATTAAAATCTTTATCTCTTTTACTTATCAAGAAATATAAAAGTATTGAATAAAAATGAATTTTTCATATTCCTTCTCAGGGTTTTTTTAAATATTTCAAATTTTTATTTGAATATATTTTTTTTTTAATTAAAGATTCGTCTTCGACTATACGATTTTCCATTTTTGTTTTCGATTTCCAATTCTTTGCAAAAATGTTTTGCACTAAAATAATAATCCTGGTATCTTGCTTGTGATACGTATTGCTATTGTAAATCACTGATAAGAATTTTTTTGTAAAGCAAAATGTATGCTTACGCATCGATTCTGACACATTTCATATTTTTTCTTTTCTATCTCCTCTTTTCTTTTTTTTAATACTGTTTTTGCGTTGTGAAAGTCATTATTGTTATTCGTCGAATGTCATTGATGACAATGCGCATCCGTTTTCAGGACGGGATCGTTCACATAAATGCGTTCCCAGTATCAATTTCAACGCACTTTTATGGATAAAGTCGTATGTTTTTCACAACGTCAATAATTCTCTGTCTTTTTCCAATGTCGACGACATTATAAATATCATGCATAATCATAGCCGAGAAAATTTGTTTTAATAGATGCTGCTTTATTCCAATTTTATGTGATTATCATTTTACTTTAGATGGTACTTTATGATTAAATATTTTATTTAAAATAAAAACTTATAAAAATAAAAAAATAAAACTTGAGATATTTTAATTTTAAAAACAAAAATTGTTATTATTAAGAAAGAAATATTAATTTTTAATATTTCTTTCTTAATTTTCTTAAAAGAAAAAAATTTTTAAGTAATTTTTTTCTCTTAAAACTTTCAAAATAAAATAACAATAATTTGAATAAGATTATCTTGCAAAATTCGGATAAAATTGAGAATTAAATGAAATAAAATATTTGAAACTATATAAATATTACGGTTATTATATTAATATTCAATAAACGAATTATTTATTACAAATATTTCATGCTTACTTTCAAAATATCCCTCGATTCACACTCAGGGTTTTAATGAATCGAACGATATGATACATTCACGAAGAGTGAATCGAAACAGGAAGCAGGAAGTCTATCATGGTCACGATTCTTTATTCTTTGAAATTATTATTCTTCAAGTGTAGATCTTTAATATAATCCATCTTTTTTCAATATCTCTTGCTCATGTAAATATAGAAATGAATTCGTCACCTGGGGTGTTAGCACGTTTACCTCGTTAAAGCTTCTCGCGAAAGTCGTAGGTTTCTTTTCTAATTCTCGACTTCCGGTATCTTTAAAACACTCATTAGTATAAGGCAATATGTTGGGCTGAAAACGAAGAGCTAAAATTTTTTTGGTGATTTTTCTAACTTTTTGTTGATTTTACAAAAATTATATTTTATTTTTTAATTAAATGAAATTATAAGATTGTGAATTTAGTATATTTTTTTTTATCATAAATAAATAATTTTTGAAACACTAATGAGATTAGACTGAATAATCAAATAAAAATATATAATTTTTTTTAATATAATAAAAGATAATTTTTTAAAATAAAAAATAAAATAAAAGAAAATTTAATGAAAGAAAACTTTATTATTCTTTGAAATAAAGAATAAATAAAAAATAAAAAGAGAAAATTTTTTTTTTATCCAATCTAGTAATTAATAATATTGATGAGTTAAAAAATTATATTATTATTACAAGTTATAGGTTATAAACATGTTTTTGTATATTTTTAAAATTTTATTTATATTAAATCTTATAACTTTTGAAATCTCATAATTTAATTTAATGTATAAGATAAGAAAATATATTAATGCAAGTTTCTTCTCTAATCTCAAAAAAAAAGAATCAATTTCACTCATATCACAAAATTCTGATTCATATTCCAATATAAGATTAAAATTTTTTTAATTTTCCACATTATCGTAATCTCTAATCAATAAAGGACCATAAAAAGTATCAATTGTTCAATTGTAATCACACTTAATCCTTTATCGATTTAATCTTTTAATCGTGTATAATTCTCTCCTCATGATCTCGATCATCCATTTATCGCATTCGATTTCACATCGCCTTATTTCGTCTCCATATTCCAATGTTATCATGATTGTGGATCATTTGTATAATCATCCTTGGTCTCAAAGAATATCGAAATCAATTGTGCAGATATGAAATTTAGAACGAAATGCATTTATCTTGTTTCGAAATTATTTCAACAATAATAAATCGATTATGTTTCATGATTGGTCTTGTTTCATGAAAATCGTTTAGATAATCGATTTCAGAACCGTTCGAGTATCTATTTAAAAGTATAGAATTAGTCGAAATTTGCAATTTCTAGGTATGTAATTAAATGTTAAATTTCAATGAATTTTAATTAAGAATTAACTTAAATAAATAAATTATGTTAAAAAACTTACAATTATTTAATCTCATGAAATAGTGCAATATATATCATAAGTATTAGAATACTGGTGCCATCTTGCGTGATAATTTACTAACTAATAAAAGAATTTATGAGTTGAGTAAATTATAGGTTATAAACACAATTTTATAAATTTTTAAAGTCGAAAAGAGTGATTATTTTTTTTATTAAATAATTTCTTCATTTATCCAAAAATTATAATAAAATTTTGAAAACTTTTTTACTATTTTATTAATAAAATTTTTCATCAATGATAAATTCATAGATAAAATTTTTTCGTCATTAGAGAATTAATCAGGTAAAGATAATTTCAAGTTGACTTTCACTAATAAAGTGCTTTATAAACGTATTCGTAAATGTTTTATTAGTCGATTTTTGTTTCGTTTCAAAGGATTGAAATGATATTAGCTCGCTTTATAAAGTCACTACGAAACCGACCTAGTTTGAAACTTTAAGACAGATGTTGCAGGGTAACCAATGAAACTATTTGAAAGTACAATAATCCTAGGACATTGTTTTTTTGAGATTAATATTTTTTGGAAACTGTAGCAAAATATAAATTTGTAAATATCATTTAATATCATTTAATATTTTTTTTGAAATTGTTAATAATTATTGTTAAATTATTGAAAATTAATTTTATATATCCTAGAAGATTACAGAAATTAATATATTGAAAATGGAATTATATAATTTTTTAAATAAAGTATATAACAAATAAAATAAAAAAATAATTTTAAAAATAAATAAATAGTTCTTAAAAACTCACTTATTTAAGAAGTTTAAAATATCACATCAAATCCTTGAGATGCTATTTAAAGATTAAGTAATTAAATATATATTATTTAAATATATAATATTTAAATTATTATATTAAATATATAATATTTTTAAATAAATAATTAAATTATATAAAAGGAAAAATTTTTTTCACAGAAATTCTGAGTTCTTAAATCTAAAAAAAAAGAAAAGAGAAAAAAGAAAAAGCCATGCATAAACAAGAAAATGGGTCACAGAGAAAATAACAACATCACAGAAAAATCAGGAAAGTACTGGAGAAAATTCTTCAATTAAAAAATTTCAAAATCCAATTGTTTTAACTAAAATTATTATATAAGTATCTATATATAAGTATCTATATATTTTTCATATCATTAGTAAACTATCGATATTCATGTATTTATGGAAAATTTTAGTATGCAAAAATATACAGAATATATAATATGCAAATATATGTAAAATATTCATAAAATATTATATTTATTATGTAAAATAAATAGTAAAAAATGCACATAATATGCATAAATATATGTTAAATACTCACTATAATATTCAATAGCAAAAAATCTGTATTTAATATAAAATATAGATAATATATATTATTCATTATTAATAAAATAATTTATTAAATAAAAATTTTCATTTCATTTTATTATTCTATTATATTCAATTTTTTTATATATCATTACAAGATTTTTAATTAAAAATATTATATGAATTTAACATCAACAAATTCAACTACTAGATTATTAGTGATACTTTGCGAATGTTTAAATTTTTATTCTTTATCACAAATATGAATTTGCATAAATATCTATATAATATTGATCAAAGATTTGAATTTATCGTGGTATATTTTATCAATTCCATCTCTTTATCATTGATATCGGTAATAATCTATCATGCTTTCATCTCGAACAACTATAAAATTGATTAAAGGATTTCGTTATCATTTACAGACTGACGGAACCGACGGGAAACATCCACGACGGTATCGGGAATTACACGGCGGACGTAAAGTGTTCCTGGCTAATCGAGAGCAGCCCAAACTCCACGATACGGATGCACGTGGAGCAATTCGCAACAGAATGCGGTTGGGATCATATGTACATTTACGACGGTGACAGCGTCGAAGCGCCGTTGCTTGCCGTCTTCTCTGGATTGATGCACAAAGATGGCTACCACATACGTCGCGTTCCGGAAGTGATCGCGCGTTCCGGAAGCGCGCTCCTTCACTTCTATTCGGATGTCGCTTATAACATGAGCGGTTTCAATATTAGCTATAAGATTAATGCCTGTCCCAGCAGGTAAATTTTTACTGTTTGTAAAATTTTTCTTTTCTTCTTTTTTATTTTTTGGATTTTCTTTTATTTATTTAGAAATTTTATATAGTATATATATATATATATATATATATATATATTTTTTAAGAAAAGTTTTAAATTTATTTTAAAAATTTATCTAGAATATTTGTTTACTTATTAGAAAATTATAGAAAATTATTTTTATGATGAGCTTATTGGGATTAGAAAAATTATTTATAAAATTATTGCTTAAAATTAAAAAAAGCATTAATTGAAAAAAAATATTTTTATATATTTTAATAATTAATAATTATTAATATGATAATTTTAGAAAAAAAAATTCTTTTTTTCCACTTAACAATTATTTGAAGTTTATATATAAATCTTCAATATGGAACATCCTCACATTTAGTTTTTATTTGGTATTAAAACTGTTTTTATTCCTAATTCATCATATTTTCCAAAACGCAAAAGAAACTCCTTTACATTAAAAAATAATCATCTAAAATGATCTTTCATTTGTTTCTCTTACATTGATCATTTTTTTTGAAACATTTGTCTAAATTCAATCAGGCAAACATTTAATCTATCCTTGTGTATAAATATGTTAAGAGCATGTTTACAATGGTATTTAGAACCAATATGCGATAGCTTGGTTTCTTAGAAAGATTTGTGTAACCTACTTTCCTCTTGTACATATTTTTCGGTATTCACAGGTATTCGCACATCGATTGTTCTGGACATGGGGTTTGCATTGATAGTGTATGTACATGTGATGCCACATGGACTGGTGAAGCCTGTGAAATTCAAGTTTGTCCGAATAACTGTTCCCATAGTCATGGACAGGGCGAATGTAATCGGGAGAGTCATCATTGTGATTGTATGCATGGCTTCAAGGGTGAGATTTTCTATCAAAAAAAGTTAGCTAATGTATTTTGGAAGACTTGATTTATTTTGTTCTATATTTTTATGAATGTTTCTAAGAGAATTGGATAATTATATATAATTTTATGATTTTTTTTTTGCTTATGGAAAAGGATATAATTAGTTAGTTTTTTTTGGGTTATGAATAAATTGCTTAGCGTGATGGAAGAGTGTAATGATAATGCCAATAATGTAGTAATTGTATAATTTAGTATAATATAGTAATAATATTACATTTGGTATATTTATAATTTTGAAAAAGAAAAGGAAAGAAATTTAATATATTGTATAATGATCCAATTAATTTCTACTATCTTCTTTTTAAAAATCAAATGATTTAATCTATAATTCATATGTATAAATTACTATATAAATATACATTTATATAATTATATATTATTAATATATATTTAATTATAAAATTATATATTAATTTATTATTATTACATATTGTATATTATTTATTAACTTTATATTTTTTCAGGCTCTGATTGCAGTCAAAGAAGCGACCGTGGATTCTGGGAAAACGTATTCTATACTGACTTCTCACCTGAAGGCTCGGCTAGTCATTGCTCTATCGTTTGGAAAGATTCTTTATATATAGTTGGTGGTGAAAGTTTTCATCGCGCTAAAATGATTTACGTGTATGATTTCAATGGAAATGTCTGGGAGACCCCTCATGTCGAAGGGAAGGTTCCTCAACCTCGATACGCTCATTCGTGTATACTTTTCGGTGATAAAATATTCATGTATGGCGGTGTACTGCCTAATTCTACGGTAACCAATGAAATCTGGGCATTTGATGTATCGGCGAAAGTCTGGGAGAATGTAACCGTACACGACAAGAGCAACAAAACTATGCGTGGTCCTTTAAAGGTGATTTGATAATTTCTTTCATGAATTCGTTTTTATATCTTTTAAATTTCTATAATATTTTGAGTTAGCTTTAGTATGTCTATACAAGTAGTTTTTAGTTTTTAAATTAGAATTTTTCTTACTTAGAATTATATTAATATAATATAATTAATATAATTATCATAATTGTTACATCTATCTAATTCTTATAATTCTTTTTATTAATTCTTTTTTCGATTTTTATTAATTTTGTTTGATTAGGTTTTTTAATTTGTTTATGTTATTTTGGTTGTTTTTTTATATTTCTAATTTGATTATTTTCACTTTTAATTTTTTTCCACAAAAATAATATTTAAATATTTATTAATATATTTAAATATTTTAAAGAATTTCATTCTATTCTCGTAGTTCTATTAAGAAAAAATAGTTAAATTTTTTTAAACTTCATCAAATAGATGAAAGAAAAAAAAAAGTGAAGAGAAAAATATTATATAAATCGTTGAAATTTTCTTGCATAACTATACTTAACTACTGTTAAGAAAACAGAATTCTATCATGTTGCAATCTTGATCTTTAATGGATTAATGCTGTAATTGATGTTAATCAAATATTTTTTCTCATAGAATATTATGTATGCATAATGAATATCTTAGCATGCTCTAATAATATTTTTCTAGCAATATATTAAATATATTAAGCCATGTTAAATGTGCGTGTTTTTAATGCGTTATTTTACACAGGTAGCCGGACATTCTGCAACCCTGGTACAAAATCATGGAAGAAAAGAAAAAATGGTGGTAATATTCGGATATTCACCTCAATATGGTTACTTGAACGAGATTCAAGAATATCATTTGGGCACACGTGAATGGCAAATCGTAGACACAATTGGATTCCCTGTGAAAGGTGGTTACGGGCATAGCTCCGCTTATGATACATTGACAAATCTCATTTATGTATATGGAGGATATGTATCAGAATCGCAGACCACACAGGTCTTAACTAGTCGATTGTACTCTTATGATCCTAATTCTCGTCAATGGACATTGCTTACGGCTGCCCCATCAGCTCGTTTCTTTCACACAGCTGTGTTCATTTCTGGTGGTTTGATGATCGTCTTTGGCGGTAATATGCATAACGATACGCAACATTCGGATGGAACGAGATGTTATTCGGCGGATACGATCGCATATGATGTCACTTGTGATTCCTGGCATCAATTTCCTATGCCCAAAGAGATGACCGACCTGCCCAGGTATGGACACAGTGCGACTGTGTTTGAGAAGTCAATGTATATCTATGGGGGATTTGATGGACAAATGTTGTCTGACATGACAAGGTAGAATATTTATACAATACATCTATCATATATAATTATTATTAATTATAAATATATATAATTATAAAAAAATTATATATATATAATTATAAATAATGTAGTGATAGAGAAATTTTTACGCATTTCAATTAAAAGAATAAGAATAAAAATTTATTTATTATAAATAATAATAAATAAATAAATAAATAAATAAATAAATATTTATTATAAATTTATTTATTATATTTATTAGGTATACTCCAGGAAATTGTGAGCATTTAACAAATCAGAATCATTGTTTAAATGCAAGGACAGGCGTGAAGTGCGTGTGGGATAAAAGAGAAAATCGATGTATTCAGATCACCAAGATAGCTCGACACGTGCTTCTTAACGATGACATGCATGATGGAATTTATATGAGATGTCTGGACGATACTCCGCCTCGTGGGATGACATCTCACAAGGAATTATGCAAGCTGCTTACGGATTGTGTGGCTTGCGTACAAACATCATATAATTGCATATGGTGCGGTAAGAGTTGCTCGCACGAGATTTGCCGAGACAACGCTAATGCACCTCCGATCAAGGCTATCAGCAATCTAGATCAATGTGATGCTCACACAGCCATTAAATGTTTGCAGTTGCATACGTGCCATGCGTGTTCTAGTAATCCACACTGCATCTGGTCTTGGTCAAATGGACCTGATCGATGTAAACCATATTCGAAAGCTCGAGAAGTAAGTATTTGAGTAAAAAAGTTATTGTTCGCTATATTTGCTACAATTAGAGCAAATTCGATAGTGATTCAAGTCTTACTATTTATAATCATATAGATAAAATGAAAAAAATATTTGATGTTATAGTTTGGTAGAATCACTCTTCCATCTTTTTTTCTGTAATCATAGATATTCATTAAAGAATTTTGCATATATATAGTGATTTATTAGATGGTAGATTTTAGTTGTTTTGCAAGATTAGTAAACAACCAATTTATTACCAACTATGCTTCGAATATATATTTATACATATATGTAAAATATATAAAAAAAAATGAATCTATATACAAATATTTACAGCAAGTGACCATTTTAAACGGAACTATTCAAGCACAAAGATTGTCCATAGATTCTTGTCGCAGTCCATGCGTAGACTATACTTCCTGTAAAAATTGCACAGAATCAGATTGTATTTGGTGTCAAAATGAGAAAAAATGTGTGGACAAAAATGCATATCCTGCAAGCTTCCCTTATGGACAATGTCGTGAATGGACAACGGTTGATTCAAAATGTCATCCCACGGAAACAGGAAAGGAATGGTGTACGTTTTATTCATCTTGTGCAGCGTGCCGATCTGATCCTGGATGTGGATGGTGTGATGACGGTTCTGGGACAGGAAAAGGATTGTGTTTGCCAGGTGGAGCTCGTGGTCCAAGCAGTAAAAGCTTGGACACTTGCTCAATCGAACGATGGTATTTTACAAAATGTCCTAGTAAGTACATTATAATTAAATAATAAAATTGATTATGGTATTTAAAGGTGATATGTGTAAGCATGTATTAATTCTCTTTACATTATAATTTTAGCTTGTCAATGCAATGGTCACAGCAAGTGTCTTTCGAATAGCAGTATATGTATTCAACCATGTGGAAATTTGACTTATGGACCTCATTGCGATAAATGTATTCCTGGTTACTATGGAAATCCATTAAATGGAGCCACTTGTCAACGTAAATTCATTCTATCCTACGTAATATAATTTTTCGAATAGATTCTTAAATTATATTTTTTTGTTACAGCATGTTTTTGTAATAATCAAGGCACACAATGTACCAGTGAAACGGGTAAATGTTTCTGTACAACGAAAGGCATTATTGGAGATCATTGTGAACGATGTGACGTGTCTAGCCTTTATCATGGAGATCCTACTAATAAAGGATCTTGTTTTTGTAAGTTTTTTTTTAATATTTCTCTTTTTTCATTCATTTAATATTTTCAAAGATACAGATTTCAATTTAAAATTCTTTTACAGACGATTTGGCTATTGATTATCAATTTACATTCAATTTAAGTAAAAAAGAGGACCGTCAATACAGAGCGATTAATTTTAAGAATTCTCCGCCAAAACCTGATATTGATGCAGAGTTTTCCATTACGTGTTCCGTTCTGGCTAAAATGAACATCACGGTGAAAAGAGCAAATACACCGGAAATGCCAGTCATTCTTGGCGCAAATTGCACGACTGCAATGTATAAACATCGTTTTATTAAAGATGGTTATGGTTTCGGTAGTGAGAACAATAATACATTGACCACATTCTATGTGTATGTGTACGACTTCCAACCGCCGGTGTGGATTCAAATTTCTTTTTCACAATATTCCAAACTCAACTTGCAGCAATTCTTTATAACATTTTGCACGTGAGTATTTGAAACTTGATGTCAAAATAAACTAAATATATGGTGAATGTATTGATTATCTGTGTTATGTGTAGAAATTAATAACAAGATGAACGACATTGTGATTTTGTTCATTATTTTTTTTTTTTCAAAATTTCCTACGCTTTTGTGTTGTCCTAAGCCTCAGGCAGTATTTACTTGTAAACTAGAGATTACATGCCTAGGTGCTTCCTCGCTCTACTGTTGGTGGCTGCTGTTCTTTGGAAAATCAAGCAAAAATATGATATGTATAGAAGAAGACAGAGATTGTTTGTAGAAATGGAACAAATGGCCAGTAGAGCGTTTAGCCAAGTTTTGGTAGAAATCGAGAGGCGGGACATCGATAATTCTGACTCAGAGCGAAGTGAGTCCGAATTAGTAAATTGCCGCAAAAAGAAAAAGGTTAATATTTAATTATTTAGCTATATTAAAAAATCATATATGAAATATACATACAACATAACAAATTTAATAAAAAATATAAACATAATTATATATATATAATTATAGATAAATATTTATAAAATAAAATTATTAAAATCTATTTCCACTGATGAAATTCTTAAAAAAAAAAAAAAAAAAAAAATGAATATTATGACGAAAATTTAAATAAAGGCGCCACTAGCGCCATTGATTTCGATATTTGCGATTTTCGATTTTTCGATATTGCTTGCGATTCTCGTTCCTTCATTTCAAATTTGTCGTGAACTTCGGTGGACGCGGACGTGTCGTCGGGAGTTTATCGCGCGTGTCGGGAATTTTGTGAATAATAAATCGTGTGTGTGTGATTTAGTGTTATGTGGTTTTTTTTTGTGAATATTTTTGCAGGATGCCCCTAGTCCGATCGCATTGGAGCCCTGTTGCGGTAACAGAGCAGCGGTCTTGTCGTTGCTAGTCAGACTGCCTACTGGTGGTGAACCGTACACTCCGGCTGGTCAGAGCGCCGGTTTAGCCGTAGCGTCTGCGTTAGTTACACTGGGTAGCCCACGGAGGCCATCTCAGGAATTGACGACAAAAGAACCGACAAAAACACGAAAGTCTGCCAGCCAACATCCAGATTCCACTTGCATTTAGCGATAAAGGCGTGAAAATAGAGACACCTTAAACATAAACTACGCCGTGGGTGACTATGAGCCTTAGATATATTTCTGTGATCTTGCCTTAGCGAATGGGCAGGACTGTTCAACAGTTAAACTCTTCGAACTCTAATCGAGTGAAGTGTGTAATACATTATTATTACAATTTTTTTTTTTCGTTTTCGTTTTCGTTCGTTCCGTGATAAATATTCGTTTCGTTTCGTAAAATCAATCGGTAAAACTGTAATAACAAATTCGACTTCCCGAAGAACATATTTCCGAGGAGAATTGCATCCCATCATACTCAAAGGGTCAGCTAAGTGATTTGAATGTACATGTTGGATTTTCGATGCGAAATGGGGATCAGCCATTTTTCGTTCAACCAATTTTTGGTAAGTAAATTAGTACATGAATTATTTGCGTGTGGCGGTAACACGCTTGGCTGACTTGAGATTTTTTTATCATTTTATTTTTTTCGTTTCTATGTGACAATGTACAGTTGTATATAGATCTGTTATGCGATTTATTTCTTTCGTTTAGTCATTGCGATCGAACGGAATCGAGTTCGTTCCGCAATTATCGAAGTGTCTTCGAAAAGGGCTATAAAAAAAAACCGAATGTTGTTCTTTATTCGAGAAATGAATTTCGCGCGTAATAAAGTTGATACGTGCTGCCCTCTGTACGAATTTCAACAAATTCGGGTGAGAGGTCGCTGAAAATTGGCGGGTGATTGAAAAACGAAATATTGGAAAATTCGATTTGCCAGATGCAGTTCGAACTTAATTTTCGTTCTTCGTTTTGTAAACTTATGTAAATACATATATGGTTGTATATCCGAAGTAAAAATCACGATACAGATGAACTGTACAGATATAAATTCGATTTGAAAGAAAAAGAAAGATAGCAAAGTGAGGAATATATAATTTTTTTGTGTATTCATATACAATAATCGATAAAGATTTAATTCTAAATTAAAGGAAATGAATAGGGATAAATTGTTGATATTTTGAATATTGCATCATCTTTGTATAATCTTCGTATTCTATATATCTACTGTGCCAAAGCATTTTTTGATATTGGTATCAAATCATTAAAGAAAAAAAAATATCAAAATATCATTGGTGTAGATACGAATTTTTATCAGCAATTCAATCTGTTGAAAAGTTTCTTAAAAAACGATGAAACATGAAAGTCAATTTCTTTCAGTTATCTCTATTCATTTCTATAAGAGAAAAGTGTTCGCTATACGATCGAAAAATATCGAAGCAGAAAAATGAATTATTTTCATCTGAAGATTTTTTTTTAAATATGACATAATAATTTCTATCGTGTAGCGTTCCATGTAATTTTAATGTATAATGAACTTAGAAAAAAAAAAAAAAAAAGAAAAAAACAAAAAAACAAAAAAAGAAAAGAAGGATGTGGACGTTGCAATAAACTGAAAGAATCGCGGTAATTCTTCGGTCGACGATACAGTTTTCGTTTTGCTACAAAGATGGCGGTGCTGGTTGTTTCACGTACCAAGCCTAACCTCAAAATGTCTAAAGGAGACAAGACAAACGAACGTATATGTTATGTGGCTGTGGTTTATTTTTTCATTTATATTATCGTTCATTTATATTACCAATATATATAAATTTCTTATATTTTTGCGTGGCCAATAAAAGATAGCTGCTTCCGTTCTGAAATTTAGAATGATCTCATGTTCTTACTTCCTGTTCTGAATATGGAGGCAGCTCTTACTATCACGTGTTCCATAAAGCAAATGAAAAATAGAAAAAAGGAGAAACCGTTTTATATCGTAGCAAAACAGTTTCTTAGAACTTAAAAAACCTCCAGCACTTGCATAGCATACGGACAGAATATTCGTGTATAAGTGTCGTCTAATTTTAATTCCTGTAAAAATCGAATTTTTTTAATGTGTATTTTACCATAATGTTCAAAATTGGAGGGCCGACTGCTTATTAGTCCACTACTGAGATAAGAAATAAGACGAAAATGCTGATTATAATATTTTATATTTAATTATCTATTATAGAATATTTTCAATTTTTTTTGTTACCTATTACAATTAGCTTCCAATGCTCAAGTTTATTCTATATGAGTAGACGATCCTCCAATCCTGCGCATGGTATAAGACTCGAGTACATTAAGAGTATCGTTTTAGCTTAAGTTTTTGGTCACAAAGGATGAGAGTGATATAAATTTTTTTTTTAAATCATTGTATAGCACGGATCAAGTGCAATGTATTTTGTTTTACCATGTATAATACTCATCAATGTTTCTTTCATTCTCTCTACTGTACTCGGAGTCTCTTTTTGTGAGGGTGCAACCAGATGCTAGTCAATGCAATTGTACGTGATTTAAATTGACAAAGTTACCCACCATTCTTTAGAGTCGCTTCTATCATTTTGTTAAGAGAAAAAGAACTATTTATTCTCATTCTTTGATTATGCTCTGGTTGCATTCACTTAGAGCATAGTGTATATTTTATATTATTATCGTAAAGATAATTTAATTTTTTTTATACAACTGTTTTATTTTTGTTTGTTTTTTTTAAACGGAATAATAGGAGCGCGTATTCCCTCCTCCAGTTCTTGTTTTGAAATCAAACTTTTTATTATTTTTTTGTGCAAAAATTTATAATTGTACATATACAAGTTACAAATAATGTTACGTTATATTTAAAGAAAATAGGATTATATTCGATATATTGCTCAACTTTTGAGTAGATTTCTTTTTAAATTGCGCTTAATAATTTCTACTTTATCGACTTTTTTCTTTCGTATCTAGGGATATTTAGATTTTGTGTTCATTCGAGGGAAAAAGTATTTAAAATATAAGAAAAAGAAAATGAAACGAGATAGATTATATTTGGGACACATTGTTAAGGAAGGACGATGCTTAGATCGACGAGTATTTCTCATTCTTGTTCTCTTCTTTTTTTTTTTTAATCCATGTGTATTTATCGAGTGTCTTGATACTGCCATTTAACTTCTATGATCTATTTGTCTTCGAATTCAAAATGATTAGGATCCACCCATTTAATCGTTAAAACTCTTTGCTGCTTGAATTCCATTGCATGTATGAAGTAATATTAGAAAGTAGAAATTTCGCTTAAGGAGACAGTGTCCAAAAAGTTTTGCCAGAATTTGGTGCCAACTCCCATTATTATTCCAATCTTATCATTTATTCTTCGTAACATCTTGGCTCCTCGTTAACATCGAGTTTCTTGGCAAATGTTTCTGTGCTCGAAAATTTTCTTTACCCTTAGGAAACGATGTCAAGATGGTTATTAACATTTTTTTAATAAACGAGATTTTTAATTAAAGCATTCTAAATTATTTGTGGTCATGTTCGAATTTAATCTTCAATAAATATGATTAGAGACAGGAGAAATTTTTTATCATTTTTTATCATTTTTTATCTTTTTTTTATCATTCCTTTTTTTTGGCTTGTTCAATAAATAGAGCAATTGTTGAAAAATTGAATTAAAAAATATTATGGAGAGTAAAATAGATTTTTTGTTGAAATGAAAAAATGAAAATTAAATGATTTGAATTCAATCTATTTATTTTCATCATAGAGATACTTAATTATAAAAATTAAGGAATATGTTAATGGTGGGGGATGATCTTGAAAATTTGACTGATTTCAGCCAGGCTATAGCTTCCATAAATGGAATACTTAGTTTTCAGGCAGCAATGGAGTTAACTAGGCCCTAAACTAAGACTATATCACACACCATTGTTGTTCATACATTAATTGTGTCAGGATTATGAATGATTTTAAAATTTATATTGTGTTTCATAATGATCCATAGATTTGTGATTAATCCATGCTCCTGTGAATTATCCACAGAATTAATTCTTAACTATTATGATTCTAAAGTATCCCAATAACAAAATTAATTCTGAATTTATGAGTTATATATTACAAAGTTGATTCTGAATTAATCATTGTAAGATTAGATAATCATTGTAACATTAACATTATATGTTATTTGAAAATTATACAATGATAGTTTAACAGACTATGGATGTTAATGCAATGGTATTAGAAATTTAAAAATTTTAAAAATAAAAAAATTTATACAAGATATAATATCATTAATGTAATATTTATAATAATCTAATATATGGAATAGTTTCTTATATAAATTTCATTTTTTTAAAAATATAAAGTTGTATCAATCTACTTACAACATTAGGGGTACTCTAACATCTTAGCAGTTAAGAATTAAACATAACTTCAATAAAGAGACAAAGATGAATAAACGTTGAAAGATAAATCATCAAATAGTAATGATTAAGAATGATAAAGAATAAAGTTCAATCAATTTTCAGTCATATAATCTATGTAAAATATCAGGTTTCTTAGGTGGTTAGCATAGTCGATTATAGTATTGGAAGTATTTAGCTTGATTATGGTGTTTCCCAAACGTCTTCGAATTATTTGTAAATTTTATAGAGAACACAGAGGCATCGCTATCATTGACGTCTCGTGTTGATCCTCGGCCAAAGGAAACGTGCAGTTTTAATGTTTAATATTTGAATATCGAATGTAAAAATTCGATATTAATTCAGGGGAATCGTTGTATCGAAAATCATTTTTGATACGTCCATTGTGGAATTTTGAGAAGATAAGATCTGTGTCTAGGGCCTAGATCAAGGTGGATTTTTTTAATCCTAAAAATTCTAAGATTTATGGGATTTTCAGGATCTTTTACGATCTCTAAAACTTTTAGATTTCGAAGATTTTTGGATCTTTAGGATTTTTAAAACCTAGGATTTTTAGGATCTTTAGGATCTCGATAACCTTTAGAATCTTCAGGATTTGGATGAACCTTAGGAATCTTTATGATTTCTAGAACCTATAAAATATTAAGGATTTTTAAGATTTCTAGATATTTTAGAATCTTTAAAGATTTCTTAGATTTCTAGGAATTTTAGAATCTCTAAGAACCATTTAGAATCATAAGAAATATTCAGGAACTTTAAGATTTCTAGAATCTCAAAGATTTCTCTAACTAAAGTATCCCTAGATTTTCGATGATCATCAAAACTTTTAAGATTTAACAAAATTTCTAGGCTTTTTAAAATTTTTAAAACAATTAGAATATCAAAGATCTCGAACAATAATACTTATAGAAATTCCAAGATCTCTGAAATTTATATGATCCTTACAATCTGTAAAATTTTTTAAAGAATTTTTAGAATTTTTAAATTCTTTTAGAATTTTTTATTTATTTTATATTAGGAATGAAAAGAGAATTTAACATTTCTATAATATTTGATGATTCTTAAAAATTCTTTGGATTTTGGAGAAATCTTTAAGATTTTTAAAATCTGAAACATTTCTTTATTTATATTTCGCATTTTTGCAAAATTTAGGATTTCTAAAATTTTGATGATCTTCACAGAAAATTCAAAGTTGTAAAAATTTTTTTAGAATCTTTAAAATTTTGAAAATTTCTAAAATTTCTTTAAGATCTTTGGAATTTTTATAAGTTCCAGAATTTCTAGGATCTATAAGATTTTTATGATCTCAAGAATCTTGGGAAAACAATTTAGCTAGCTCATTTAGGCCCTTGAGAATACGCCGCGACACATATAGATATGGCTGCTCGTCCATCGACAGAAACAGGATTTTATTATTCGATTAATGTATGATTTTTTTTCTTTTTTCCCCTTCTGTTTCGAAATTATCGACAAGATTGAAATTTTTTATTAATTTGTAACTCGCGTGGCGTAGCCAGAGCATTGTATCTGGCGATTTAACGTTTAAGAAATACTTAACGTAATCTATAAGTAGGTAGGTATATTATAATAAACGAGTATAGCTTGCAACAATTTTTCTAGAACACAATCGAAAATATTTATTTTTATTCAATCGTAAGCATAAGGGTAACTCTTTGATAAAATGATGAAAAAAAATAAAATAAAATAAAAAGAAATAAAATGAAATGAAATGAAATAAAGTAAAATAAAATAATTGAAGGAAAAAATGGTGAAATATTAATTATTAAAATACAGAGGGGAGAGAGAGAGAGAGAGAGAGAGAGAGAGAGAGAGAGAGAGAGAGAGAGAAAGAGAAAAAGAGAGTGTAAAAAAAGGAAAGTATGTGATGATGAAATTTTATGTGCAGTGAGAGTCAAAAGTGAGAGTACACGTTTTGAAGACAAAGAATTTATTTGATAAATCTTACATTGTATAAATTTGAAAAGATAAAAACAATTTATAATAAATATAAATTAATAATGTAAAAAATATAAGTATTCCTAATGTATCATATTTGAGATTGTATGATACCTTATGTAATAATTATTATACAATATAATAATTTGTATACATATATAAAACGAGTTTGATTATATTTATTAACGATTATATAAATTATTATATATTTTTAGCAAATAGTTTATCAAACAATTTTATAATTTAATAAATATCATTTTTTCAAATGTACTATTACACTTTTCACTCTTAACTACACGTTTCTCGTATTTCTTTCTATCTCTCTCTCTTACCTCTCTCTCTCTCTCTCTCTCTCTCTCTCTCGTATCCTTTTAAAACACAAGTACTACATACCTGAACACAAACCATACCATACACCCACATATTTTTAACACTGTGCTCCCATTTGTGTGTACACGCATGATAATTCATGTGATAATTGTGTGCAGGATGTTATCACTATCTTGTTGTCATACTTCTCATTAATGCCATCTGTTAGGAAGAGAGGAAACATTCCAATTGTTAGAGTTCACGGTCTTTCTCGCGTTTCAAGTGGAAATGACCCGTCACTGGCCCGACTTGGGATTCGTTCTTCGAATAAGATTCTAAAGATACACGACGGTGTGCTAAATACTTTTGTCGTGTTTTTAAATACCGGTGATCGTGAAATATATTTACGTACCGTCTTCTCTAGATTGAAGGCGAATAGATTTTTTTTTTCTTTTTTAGTATCGTATTATAAATTGATATTGGGCAGATAATAATAATAATAATAATAATAATAATAATTTCGTTTAGTATTACGAAATATTGAAATATACGCAAAATTCTTTTATTTTTAATATTAGATGGATCATTATATAATTTATTTGAAATTTGCAACGAGACAGATATTGTTTAAATAAAATTGATATACACAAAGTTTTTTAATTTTTTAAAATTATTGTTTAAAATAAATTCAAAATATAGATACTTAGAAGAATTAAATAAAATTATTTATCCAATAATACCTAATATCCATTATGTATAATATTCATGGAATATTTATTTCGCAAACAATGCTCAATTCTCTATTTTAATTCTTATTTCTTTCACATTCAAAACTTTCAAACGAAATCTAATAAATCTTAATTATTTCCATTATTATAGGCCAAATCTCAATATCAACCCTCACCAATTTTTATTCATTTCTTCTTCGTTATATATAATTCTTTCTCTTTTCTTCTAATTATATTTATTAACCTCCAACTCGTAATCCACTTATTCGTCCATTAATCTCAATCATTTCCCTTGTTATACGAATCCTTTGTTCTATGGGCTAACAACCATCACCAAATTCTGCTCCTCGATTCAAAATAAATTTTTATAAGCTTTCATTTCACTCTTAATCGCACGATCATCCCTCTTTCATTCCATCTAAACTTTACATTTTCACCATTTCCCCCACCATTTCATCGTGAAACAAGGGGGCGTAAACATGGCGTTTCAGGGCGTCCAAATCCTCCAGGATGGAACAAAGGATTTTAATAAAATGTCGACATCAAACGAGTCGTAGGGATGGTTCAGGTAGGACAGGATATTAAGCCATCCGCGACAGAATTGCGAAGTGGAGGGGGTAAGAGGGAGGAAAGGACGCAGTCTCTGGACGAGACGGCTTATACTTCCTGTCCTATCTTCCTCCCTTTCATCTTAGAGACAGTTTTCATCCCGCAAATGGACGTGGCACGCGTATATCTTCGACCAAGGATCGACGAATCAAATTAACCCGTGGAAATAAAAGAGGGCGCTCCATTAACTGGAACCGAGATTTGAATTTGGAATTTGGATCCATAGAAATTTTCTTCCTCTTCTTATCCTTTACGATTTTGTTTCTTTTTGTTCAAAGTTTTTATTATATAATTTAATTTTCACTTCGAGATATTTTTAACTTTTACGTTGGTTTCATTTTAAAATTTTTAATGATAAATGGTTTGGCTGATGTTTGTTTTCTTCTTTGTATCTCTTCTCTGATGGTTTTTTTCAATTTTTATTCTTCTCATTTCTAAGATATGATGCTGCTGATCATTCTTAAAATTTTTATTTGAAGTAAAGATATCTTCTCTATTTGGCTTATTTTTTTATTGTTATTTTGTATTTTGTAATTATATATAATTTATACAAAATTGAATATATATAAATTGAATACGAGTAAGTAAGTTTCATCAAGATATTATGGAATTTCATTTTATTCAGTTTTAAAATTTGATGTTTCTAGAAATTTCTAGGGAAAAATCGATTTTGCAGATTCAGGGAATTTTATATTTCGGTTTCATATATTGCTATGCGATTTCGAGTGTCAATTTAGATTTTTTTTTTAATATAACATATTAAACATAAGAACATAACAAAAATATCGATTGAAATCTTATTTATTTATTATATTATAAATTAATTTAGATTATTTAAACTTAATAAATTATTAAAACTTAATAAACACACTTCGATTGATATTTTTACCAACTTTTTTTTTTATTTTCACTGTTTAGAATCGATCTTCCAAACGAAATATAAAACTAACATCTTGTACCAGTAATCCATTACCAGTAATCCATTAATCAGATCAAACATTCTTAAGCGAAAATAAAAAGAATCAAAAAAAAAAAAAATTAGTGGATGTTGACCGAAAGATTACTCGAAAAATTAACAGGAAACGAGAAAGCGAGTTTGTCCAATAAAAATTGAAACGATCCTCCTCCTCAAATATTTTCTTTTCCTAAAAAAAAAAAAAAGAAAAAAAGAAAGAAAGAAAGAAAGAAAGAGCAACCACTAGATGCTGAACAAGCGATATCCGGAAACTCGTTTTTCACGAAGTCGAGAGGTTAGGTTAGGTTAGGAATCGACACGGTTGCACGCCGATTTTTCTGCAAACGCAATCCCCATTGTTCTTCTTGTTACTTGGATGTTTTCTACCATCATCCATCTATGTTCTTTTCACCATTTCATTTCATCCCTGGATTATCGTATTGTCAGCAAGTGACTCGTCTCGCTTTATAACAATCGTCGTTGTTATCCCTGTTTGGAAAAAATAAGAGAGTTTCGTTTCTCCCGATGATGAAATGCAATCGTGAACAGTTTATATCTATTGAAATTTTGTATCGAATTATTACGTATGGTTATAAAGTAGAAAGTAGAAAGAAATATTTCGTTAGAAAATTTATATCTATTAAAATTTCTATATAGATGTGAATGAGTATTTAATTAATTCGCTGGAAAAATTTTTCTAAAAAAATATAAGAAAAATATAAGAAATGGATCACATGAGCGATAATAATTGTTCAAAATTCAAATTAATTATTTCTCGTATCTTCTGTATTGATAAATTTTTTTAATTTAAATAACCTAATCTCTTATGAATGATTCAAATTTATTTTTCTTTCCACTTCATCACTTGATTTTAATTACAATTTTCAAAATAAATAAATAAAGTTTCAAACCAAAATTCAAATACAATTAAGTTGATAGAAATCGTTCGAATCGAAAAGTACATTAATTTTTGAGCTTATTATTAATCAACAAATTATCTCTTACAACAAATTATCGTTGGAAGAAGCTTAGACGCGTGTTAAGGCGAATGGTTTCTATGACAGAAGCATATAGTATCTTGAACGAACTTGGCTCAAAGACATGTCATGGCTCGGAAGTGTATTTGATTAAATTTTAAATTAATTTCCAGCCGTGAGTTGAATAAATTTTGTATCATGTATGAAACATTGCAACCAGATCTGGTATATATATATATATACCATACTGTATATATATATGTATATATATATATATATATATATATATATATACAGTGTACGATAACAGGATAATAATTTCTAAATACCGTGCTTTAAACTTATTCTACCTCGTAATTTCATATCCGTAAAATTTCGTGAAATTTC